ACGAGAATCTGATGGCAAGTTCAGTAGCGTGTATGGCCACCATGTGCGTTGACAACTGCCACACAACCCCTCCGCATGGACCTGGTGATGCTTGTGAACACATGATTGGGAAGACGACGCCATTGTTGCTGCAAAATGGTGCCAAATTCTGTGGTTGGTTCTGGAGAGTGCGCAGACTTCTGCCAAGAGCATCCCAGACGTGTTCGATGGGATTGAGGTCGGGAGACCTTGACGGCCAGTCCACGACGTTGACTCCCGCATTCTGAAGGAAATTCCTTGTCATAATTGCTGTGTGGGGTCTGGCATTGTCGTGTTGGAAGATCAAACCGGGTCCATGTGCTGCCATAAAAGGCAGAAGCTCTGGAGCCAGTACCTGGTCGCGGTAAACAGCTGCATTGAGGTTGCCACGGATGACAAGAAGCCTGGATCGTGCATTGCCACAGAAAGCACCCCACACCATGACACTTCCGCCTCGAAATCTGTCAACTTCCTGTACACAACACTGGGCGTAATGTTCATGACGGCGCCTCCACATCCTCGCCCTACCATCAGCAAATCGAAGATTAAATCGGGATTCATCACTGAAGACGACTTGTTTCAAGTCCATCGTAAGTGTCGCTGTGCCCACAATTGACGTTGACGTCTGTGTAATTGAGTGAGAATCGGCCCGCAGTATGGCCGTCGTGCTTGAAGGTGAGCAGTTCTCAGACGGTTTCGAACAGTTTGCGCACTCAGTCTACCCCTAAACAGTTCATTTCTGGTTGATGTAGCCGTCAAAAATCGGTTACGGAGGTGACGTAAGACAATCTGACGACCCTCTGCATTTGACGTCACACGTGGTCGACCTGGCCGTGGGCGATCAGCGGTGGTACCCGTTTGCTGTAGACGCGTCCGTAAATCATAAACAGTCCGTCGACTACAACCCCTCGTCCTTGCGACTTCAGATACGGACGTTCCCGTCTGCAACATGCCGATGGCACGTTCACGTTGCACATTTGAAAGGCGTGGTATGACAAATGGCCGTAAAGACTTTTGTTTTCTTGTGTTTTTCTTTTTTTGTTAATGACTGCTGACAAGTATGGCTGAAAATACGTGCGGTATTATGGCCACGTGACCAGTTGCACGTGAAAAAACACTTTTGCCACTATAGTGCTGTGCACATGATTTTGATAGATTCACCTGCACAAAAACGGGTGTTATATGAAGAAAATACGTGGCCATTACTGTTTAAATACACAATAAGGGCCCACAATGATAACTGGTCAAAATGTTAAAATTTTAGGATTGTGAAGTTTTTAATTTGGTTCAGTATATTTTTCAAAGTGTAGTCGCCAGTTTGAATCAAAGGTCGTATAGCTCTGATAAAGCTGTATTCTGGGTGGCTAATGTCGATTTCTTGTTTGTCATTTAACTTGTGGACAAGGTTCGCGAAAGGTCGTCCTGATGTGACCTGTAATGGGATATCCTCAGATCTTTGTTTTTGCTGTAGCGAGAACTAAGATCTGATTTCAATGAGATTGGAAATGTGCTTGTTACTTTGATGTCCTCCAGTGCAAAGGGCGTCATGAGTCGATTTAGTACTTGGTCAGGACCTATAAAGAGCCTACCATGATGTAGTAAGTCAGAGCTGATCTGTAGCCTTCAAAAGTGCGGTGAGATGAAAATAAAATATCTGTCTGTCTGCCTGTCTGTCCCGTTGGGCCACCAGTATTATCACGCAATCGATTGTCTGTCGCTATCATCACTGGCGTGTGATGCAGCCGAACTTCCCATGCTTGGCTAGATTGAAATATCGCTCTCATTTCCAGACAGTTGATGTGATGTCTTAGGTAGACCATTTCCCGAGCATTGTGACGTCGTCCATGTGAGTACCCCCATCCCTCGCCTGACGCGTCCGTGGAGCGGTAATGGAGTTGGGAGGGAAATATGAGAGGCATACCCGGCATGACACTGTGACGTAGTAGCCACAAATGTAGTTCTGATTCGACACGCTCCATTTGGAATTTGGGAGGCCGAGCGAGATAATCCTTGTGGAATACTTTCAAGTCAATTATCATGCTTATTTCCGATGTATTTTCCTTCAGAACTAGGAAGACTGGTGAGTAGAATCCTTCGGTGGTATCCGACTCTTCTAATGCGCCGATTGCTCCCTCGTCTAAGGCCAAGTTCGCGGCGTCTAGCCAGAAGGAATTGACGTCCTGCAGGATGGATCACAAGACGGTCTCAGTAGTGGAGCTTGTGCCCTCATCGTACAACCCTCAAGGCTTCGTCCATCACATATTCTCAGACGCACCCGACTGGACCTGGGGTTGGCCTTGTGTTGAGTCTTGGCAGTCTGTAATCATGTTCTTGAGACAGGCAAGGTAGACACAAGTTGGAGAGATGTGCTGAACTCGTGGTGAGCCATGTGCGACAGGATTGAGTGTCACACTACGTTTATTGATCTACTTATGAGAACGACCAAGGTCCATACAGATATGGAACACTTAAATTCAAGGCTTTTAAAGGCTGCCAACTATCTTTTTAAAGGCATTTTTAACTGGGCTATGAGCCTTAGTCTGTCAATATTTTATTAAATCCAGCATACTATATATTAGTCGTAAGACCTAGAAAGCAGAATGACCATCACATATTCTCCAAGATTTATCCCCCCCCCAAAAAAATAAAAAAATAAAATAATAATACGAAAATCAATATATAAATAAATAATAAAAAATTAAAAAAAAAAATTGATTAACAAGTATATGCCATTTTGTGCACATTCACAGCTTTCAAGGCTTTTCACTAAAAATCAAGGCTTTTCAAGAAGGACCTTACAATACAAGCCTGTACAAACCCTGTTTTGTACTACCAACCTGCTGTAAACTGCTCTCAGCTTGTATGTACGAGGGGCGGTCAATAAGTTTTGCAACTTCAATATAAGACCAACCGGCAGAATATCCTTGGCACTTTTATTTTTCAATATAATCTCCATTCACCATCAATCCCCTTTTTCCATTTGTCCTTCAAGCTTTTAATACCACTTTTATAGAAATCCTCAGATTGGCCCTCTAACCACACCTCTGTAGCAGCCTTTATGCCCTCGTCATCCTGGAAGCGTCTTCCACGTAGGGCAGATTTCATGTGCCGGAACAGGAAATAGTCACTGGGGGCTAAGTCTGGGCTGTAGGGTGGGTGATTTAACTGTTCGAATCCATATTCACATATGGCGGCCTGTGCAATTTTCGACTTGTGAACCGGAGCATGTAAGGAATTTAATTACAGCGCGTTGTTCATGTTTGAGAGAATCCATGATCGTGACCACCCTTAGGTGGATGAAGCCATCACATCTTACTTATTGTTGTGTCTGGAACTTGTTATGACACGTGTCAACCTAATGTTATGACTAGTGTCACACCTGCCACTAGTTGACATTGTTTGTGTAAACACAAATGCCCAAGTTGCAAAACTTATTAAACGCCCCTCGTACATGTCCAGAAGATAATCTCAGCCAAGTTTACAGTGTGAATTAACAACAAAACCCGTCTAGACATGATCAACAACTTTTTACTTGTGTACATCTAGACACATAGGAAAAAGTAATAGTATTATCCCTGTTCACGCATGCGCATTTGCATTGATAAGGTTTTACTAACAACTATTAGAAATGCTAGCAGTGAAGAGGACGTCTGTTGAAAATCTAAAAGAATTTATAGTGTGTTTAGCAGTCAAAACAGGAATTTATGGCCTTGATGTAATTGAGGTGGGGTATTTAATTCATGCATTGCGGGGAACTGATCTGTATGACGAGCGAATGCTATCGCAAGGCTATCCCAGCACCTTATTGGAGTCAAGAAATAAAAAGGAAAGTTGAAATAGTTTTTATTTTTTGTATTTACAATTTACAAGGAATAGTTCATGTATATACATATATGACATCCATCAACAACATTGTTAACAAATCACAGACATGAACATCAGGACTTTCATGTACAATATACATGTATAAATTATCCCCAAAATACAATAAATAACTTAAAACTGAGTGCCTTCCACTTTGAAGGTGTACATAAGGTTGTCCACATATTCTCAATTCACTGGCCTTTTTTCTTGAATGAAACTGACCAAGGTCGTGTCCTCAACACTGGCCACAAACATCCTCTGGGGTAAAAGGTTGCCTCATCTGGAAAACAAACTGGCCGCCATCTGTGTCATCAACTACCTCTCGGGTAAATGGAAACAGCCGTGTTTAGTAAACATATATCCTTTCATTTTTAGATACAGAAATGTTTTACTGAAGGCTCATAGAAGTCAACAGGGTTTTGGGTAGTGATGACATCTATTTGCTATTCTATTGTCATATAACTTACAATCTGTCATGAAACTGATATGAGTTCACTTATTGTATTGTATTATGAACATTTAATCGATAATTCTTGCCTACACATCTTCCCGAAGTCCAGTTTCCACCCTTGCCAAACTAGGCTGGAATTATGGAGTTAAATTTTGGCTGGACTAACGAGTATATGCATAGTCCAATTGCCTAACAAATCAACATCCAGTTCATAACCAACATGGATTTGATTTCAATGTGCAGATTTCGGTTGACTGCCAAAGATCTGGATGTTGACAGATATTTTCCAAATCTTTTCATGTTTTTAGTCAAGGTGCTCAGGTGATTTGATACACTTCGCAAGGTAAGACCCGTTTTATTACACTATAAATATTGATCATCGATCAGATCATCTTGAGTGGGCGCTGCCATTTTGTTTGAGTGAGTTAGGGAGTGAGTTTGGTTTTATGCCGCTTTTAGCAATATTCCAGCAATATCACAGTGGGGGAAACCAGAAATGGGCTTCTCACATTGTACCTATGTTTAAAAAATGGGAATCAAACCCGGGTCTTCACATGACAAGCGAAAGCTTTAACCACTAGGCTTCCCGACCGTCCCCCATTTTGTTTGAAGCAGATACAAGTCATATAAGAGGTGGAATCTGATAGGTTAATAGTCGGGGCATAGAAGGGACATAACTCGTAAAAGCCACTGGTGGCGCTACGATTGAGCCCAGAAATTCCAGCCTAGTTTGGCAAGGGTGGAAACTGGACTTTTAGAGTCAGTTAACTCCCTTGCCTCGGGAAGATGTGCCTGTAGCACATAATGAAACTATCAAGATTGGCCTAATATATGTTTGGATGATTCACAGAGTATTGGCAAATTCATACTTCTGAAAATAACTAAGCCAATCAAACACATACAATGGTTGACTGACAATCGGCGAACACCAGTATGTAGATCATTTACGAGTCAACTACTGTCGTTGTCATTGCTGAAACAGACCCGTGATTCCTACACCCGACTATTCAAGCAGACACAAGGTTTTTCATGTCACTCACTGTGAGTCATGCAGTGTTCTTACATCTGGAGTAGACATGGACTGCTGGTCATCTTCTCTTCCTTGTAACACACTGTTGATGAGTGAGTTGGATTTACTTCCCATAGGACAGTATTTCTGTTACTGCACAGCATGTCGGCTTCAAGTGAGTGGAAAGACAGTTGCTGGTTAGAAACCTTAACATGTTGACAACATTAGTCCTTATCAAGCTGCCCAATAGCTCAGCTATCATAAGGACTAGTAGAAATTTGCCATAATTAAGGTATTTCCTTTATGTTATCATAATAAGGACTAGGGGACTAAATGGTTAGTTTCTATTGCTGGTTGATGAAACACATGAGCATTGGGAGGGCCCTGACCCATCAAGGATAATAACTGGGGTGTCTACAGTTCTAACTCATGACCAGGAATCATTGACAATTGGTTCATCCACCCTTCCACCTTGGACACCTCACATCTTTCCCTCAAGGTAGACACAGCCCTGTGAGGTCAGGTAGTTCAAGTCACAGATTGCAGGTCATCCATCTTCCACCAGGGACACCTCACATCTTTCCCTCAAGGTAGACACAGCCCTGTGAGGTCAGGTAGTTCAAGTCACAGATTGCAGGTCATCCATCTTCCACCAGGGACACCTCCACATCTTTCCCTCAAGGTAGACACAGCCCTGTGAGGTCAGGTAGTTCAAATCACAGATTGCAGGGACACCTCCACATCTTAACTTCCCATCTCAGGGTAGACACGGCCCTTCGAGGTCAAGTAGCAGTAGTGGTCACAGATTGTCGATTATCTACCCTTCCATGAGGGACACCTCCACATCTTTGCCCCCCATCTCCGGGTAGACGTGCACCTGCTGGGCCACGCTGCTGTTGTACACCTCTCCCCTGGAGAACCTGACAAACTCGGGAGGATCAGCCAGTGACTCATTGCTGCTCTCCTCCATATTTGATTGGTCTGAAAAAATATACGGTATACAGGAACAACATTGTTACAAATGCAAATCTGCTGTGGCTGAAACTTTGCATGCATAAATGTGATCACTATTCACTGAAAAACCAACAATTGCCATTTATAAGATTGAAATGAGCAGCTGTTGTTTAATGCTGCAGTCAGCAACATGAATAGTTCATCTTTGCCAACATTCAAATGTGGCGACACTTCATGCCACCAGGGCACACACAATCTGACAGGTCACTCCCATTGTGGCCATCTCATCCTCAGTGAGTTGCCAATACAAATGACCTTCTTATCTCAGAATCCTCAAGGGTAAATAATTGGGAACATGTCTGAAATACTGCGACTGTTGTGTCGTTGACTTACCAGCTCGGTACTTGTGTATGTGGACCAAAGGGAGATGCACGAAGCCTGCTTTCACAGCCACCACATCCAGGATCGTCTCATAGTAGTCATCCTTCAGAAAAAATATCCCTGCAGCAAACGAGGACAATGGTCAGATGTTATGAGTGTTTGTAAGATAATGCCCTTCCCAGGGATGCAACATCACACCAATACAAGTAACCATTTAATACCTGTTCGCTTCTTATGCCACCCCCCCTACACTTTTTCATGATGTCATATATGGGGCGGTGTGGTAGCCTATCGAGTAAAGCATTTGCTTGTCATGCTGAAGACCTGGGTTTGAATCCCCACCTGGGTAAAACATGTGAAACCCATTTCTGGTGTGTGATATTGCTGGAATATTTTGTAAAACCATACTCACTCACAACATCCTATGACTCACTCTGCTACAACCCTTCTCAATAATGTATGACTGGTTCTACTGTGATATTGTTCATCACTCACCTGTAGACTTCCCAACCAGCGCCCAGGTGTCTGTGTCTGATCTCACATCGTAGACCAGCCTCTCGTCAGGGTCGTTATGACCTCCATTGCACTTCTTCACCTGCAGCTTGAGGGCCGCGGTCTTCCCCGTCTTACACTGCTTGTCCTCCTCTGGGGATGTCACGTTGTAGCTCAGGATGTATTTGGTCTGGGAACATACACCTCAGTGCATTGAATCACTGGGTCAATTCATTGATAGGTTGTCTGTGAAAACAGTACCTCAGTGTCCAATACACAACGGATGAATAGGTATCTCTGTACTTTGAAGTTCTCCACACTACAGGTGTACAGGTATTTGTGTTCCTACCTGGAAGTTCTCCACACTACAGGTGTACATGTATTTGTTTCCTACCTGGAAGTTCTCCACACTACAGGTGTACAGGTATGTGTGCCTACCTGGAAGTTCTCCACACTACAGGTGTACATGTATTTGTTTCCTACCTGGAAGTTCTCCACACTACAGGTGTACATGTATTTGTTTCCTACCTGGAAGTTCTCCACACTACAGGTGTACAGGTATTTGTTTCCTACCTGGAAGTTCTCCACACTACAGGTGTACAGGTATTTGTTTCCTACCTGGAAGTTCTCCACACTACAGGTGTACAGGTATTTGTTTCCTACCTGGAAGTTCTCCACACTACAGGTGTACAGGTATTTGTTTCCTACCTGGAAGTTCTCCACACTACAGGTGTACAGGTATTTGTTTCCTACCTGGAAGTTCTCCACACTACAGGTGTACAGGTATTTGTTTCCTACCTGGAAGTTCTCCACACTACAGGTGTACAGGTATTTGTTTCCTACCTGGAAGTTCTCCACACTACAGGTGTACAGGTATTTGTTTCCTACCTGGAAGTTCTCCACACTACAGGTGTACAGGTATTTGCGGGGCGTGGCCTGAAGATCCAGTGGACAGGTGTAGAGGAAGGAGAGCTCTGTCTCCAATCGGGGAATGTCCGGGATGTTGCAGCGGATCTGCCACAAGATGGAGGCTGTCTGGCTGCTATTCACTTTCTGGAAACAGAATACATGTCAAATTTGTTAAATGTCATAGTATTGTATTTCTATGAAAGACAAATGATAGAACTAAGATGCAAAAATATATAAACAATCCTGATCCTTCATTTTTTAAGACTTTTCATAACACCCAATGATCTTGAACAATGTCAACATATTTTGTCTTGGTATTAATAAAGTGATAGGAAGACCGATGACATTGTACCTCTAACGACTAATGTTTGTTTCAAGGCGAGTTAATGATGAGTTGAAGAGAAGATTTGCTGATCAGTACATACACGATTTCAACGAAATTAATATCAACAAAATTGAATGAAATCCCCCCCCCCCCCCCCCCCAGGTAGTGAAGTGCTGTATTCCAGTATTATTCAACTCATCAAGGAATACATTCATGTAGGGCATAGGGCGGCCTTTTCCCAGGTTGATTGTACACAACTGTTTTATTGGTTACATACTAGCTTGACCAACCCTCCCCCCCAAAAAGGCCGTCTGAGAACCAATACCTTGTTTTTGTTAAGCCTAATACTGTTGACCCAACTATAAAATTCTTTAAAAAACATCACAACTATGGCAAAGTCTTGAAAATATTTACCAGTATTGGTGAGTTGAAGTGGGGTTTAACGTCGCGTTAAAGATTATTGCACTTATATAGCGACATGCAGTGTACTGACTCCGAGCGGACCAGTCCTTGTTTTAGCCCCTTTAATGCTAGGCACCAGGCAGGGTAACAACAAGTACCATATCTTGATGTCTTTCAGTATGACATGGCTGGGCATTAAACCCAGACCTCCCGCTCTCTGGGTGGATGCTCTACCAGTAGACCACGGAGGCGGTCTTCACCAGTATTGACTTGACTAGACTTAAAGACTTTCTAGGGAGGTCTCCATATACCACTGATACCGTCGATGACTTTATCCCATCATTCTTAAGACAATGGTGTCCTATGTTGGTTAATTACAGAAAGTTAAGAGTTGACTCCAAAAATCATTCTTCTAAAAACAAATGTATACCACCACTTGTTTCTCAAGCTGTTGCCATGGTCACACACTAGTGTTTTCTCACCATCTGTTGTCCGGTTCTGTTCATTAACTGCAACTCCACATCATTGGAATTCAGGGCAGATAACTCTGGCTGACTGACGAGGAATTCGGTTTTGGTATTGCCTTTAATGGTGACTTGAAGATATTTTCTGTGAAAAAACAATGGTACAATATACGAAACCCGTTCTTGATGTCCCTTATAATAAAAACACAAAAATGTTCTTGGACAAAAGTAAACAGTAAAACCCTACCCACTTATGCTTTTAATCCAAGATTTCTTTTAAATCTTAGTTTTGTTTAAAAATTCCTCAACCAGTTGTGAAATAATAAAGATTCATGATAGTAATCAAAATTAACAGTTCTAAGCGCTAAAAAATGTAATTAAACTTTGGTAATCGATAACAAAAATGTGCGTAAGTCATTGTTCATGCCACCATCATGTTATTCCAGCAATATTTTGTTAGTCTGTTAATAATCAGTATTAATCTTGGTCCCGTTCCACAATGCGACCTTAGCGCTACAGCTACCATAAGCCTATGTTAAAGTATGGGAGTTATGATCATATTAGTGCTGATATCACTTTGAGGAAGGAGTCCCTGGGCAACAAGAAATGAATAACTTACTTTTCCTTGCATGTGTGTAAAACATGTTCCACTTTAAAGGGATGGACAAAGTTGAGATGAACGTCGAGTTTCTTGTCCCACACGTCAACATGGCAAGTCAGCTGGAACACAAGAACAGAGTGAGTTTTGTTTGTTGGTTAATGCTACACTCAGCAATATTCCAGCTATATGACGGCAGTCTGTTAAAAATCATATCTGGACCAGATAATCCAGTGATTGATATCATGACCATCGATTTACGCAATTGGGATTACATCAACCAAGTCAGCGAGCCTGACCATCCGATCCCGTAACTTGCTGAAGATCAGAAACTGATGTTCACAGGTAGAACAGAGTAAGTGAGTGAGTTAGGGCTACACTGATTTAAGCAATATTCCAGCCATATCAAGTTGACGCCTTCACATAATGTGACGAGCCAACACTTTTACCACTAGACTACTTCACAGCCCCTGAAAACAATGTAGCATCCAGATTACAAAAGCATATTCATCTCAGTAAAATGGCGGCTACTTTGACCACAGCTGTAGGTAAACTTGTAACAGTAGGGACTGACAACTACCTTGGCGTCTGAAGAGCCATCAAACGTCTGTCGAGTCTGATGGAGGGCCGTTGTAGTGAAGTCTGACGACTGATCTGCTTCCAGTGGTGACAGCTTCAGGACAGAGTTACCTTCCCTTGTCGAGACTTCCAGGTTCTCTGTGGTCTTGAACTGAGCACTGCAGCCTTGTGGGAGGGCAAAACTTCCTGTCAGCAAGGTCAAGGTCGCCTCTTGCTTTATCCCAGCAATGAAGTGATCTATGAACAAAGACAGTTCAAATAGATCAGTTCAAACAGATCAGCTCAAACTTTTACACATCTGTTTTCTGCTGAAAAAAACACCTTTACTAGTTAATCTGTGAGATTGCTATTCCTTTGTTAACAGATCATAAAAATATAACAGTTCTGAGACATTACCTGCCCTGCAGTTGAATAAATTTCTTCCTGTTTTGGACTTTATTTTTCAAATATAATATTTTACACTGAATAATTTTACAGTACACAGTCTACATCAGTACAAGAGGCACACTAACACTCGAGGTATGGGTTATGTGTTTTTCAGAAGATCCATGCTATGGTGACAGATATTTGCTATAGCCTGACAGTGATGTTGTACCTGACTTGGCAGGCTTCAGCTCCACCCTGGGTTGGTCACAGACAACCTTGAAGAACAGGTCCCATCCACTGAGTGACTTGAGGAAGTCTAGATGCTTCACCTCGTAGCATAGCTGACTCAAGTAGAACACGCCCTTCTCCGCAGTCTGTAAAAACATGAAGACAGAGTTGACTTATGGATGTAAACTTCCATATTCTTCCTGGATAAACGGACCAGCATCTGTACCAAAGTGATGCAGTGAATGTTGAAATACATGTCAACTTTGTCTTCGTTGATGCTACAGCTTCTGAACTGGAAGAATGTTTGTCTGTTACGTGTTTAACACGACACTCAGCAACATTCCAGCTGTATGACGGCGGTCTGTAAATAATCTAGTCTGGACCAGACAATCCAGTGACTGACATCATGAGCATCGATTTACACAATTAGGATACGATGACATGCATCAACCAAGTCAGTGATCCTGACTACATGATCCCGTCAGTTGCCTCTTACAACAAACATGGGTTGCTGAAGCCCTATTCTAACCCGGATCTTGACGGGTTGGAAATATGTGTAACTACTGATTCTATCCTTATCACAGTATCAACTGACCGCAGCATGCTCTTGTTTTGCACTGCTAAGGCTGTCTATAATGAATAAAGGTTTCAGTAAGAGAGTACTGGTCAACAAAGTGAGGATGTAGTAATGTATCTATATTGATGACGATGTCTTATTCAAAACATTTTTTATATTTTTAGAATAGAGAACATGGAGAATGAACACTCTGTTCAAATATAGTGAACTTCTTCTATAAATCAAAGTAGCAGAACGATGTGATGTCATATGAAAAAACCATCACAATGTCACATCACTTATCTTGCCCAAGTGTGTTGAGTACCATGGCCACAAGCCTATGTATTTAGATACACGTGTAAAACAATCTGGCCATGCATACCCTGAAGTTTACTGCATGAAAACATATAAAAGTCAGAAGGAATGGGTGCATTGTCAGAAAGAAATGGGAACATTAGTGACTTATAGTGTAACCATAGAGTTTGAGATAATTTTTGTCATTAAACAATATATCACGGGACTAACCACGGGTCCGGGTAGTCCTGTGGGTACCCCGGTCCAACTCAGGATCAACCTGACCCGAGTACCAGAGTTACCCGTCCCAGCCTTACTCAGAACATCTGACTTGTTCATATTACTACAGTTATAGCTATAGTAAAATGAAAGAATCTTTAACTTCTTTTCAGTGGTCTATATGAAAGTGAGAGCTGCACCCACCTTCATCTTGAGCTGCACGTTGTTCTCGCCCGGCTGCAGCTCAATGTCCTCAGCCAGGAGACTCACTGTGAAGTCCCCCTTCATCGTGTGGTCCACGTCACTGGCCCCTCCCGGACCGCTGTCTGTTCTCTTCAGCAACTCATGAGCATTCTTACAAGTCAGCCCTGCCCCCACAATCTTCCCCTGCCTCTTTTCATAGGTCGCCACAGTGTCAATCATTGCAGGCAACTGCTTTCTGATTGGCTGAAAATTTGCTATGTGTTCAGGCTTGTGAATGGTCAAGCTGGGAGTTCTTGTGTGGGCGATTTTCTTTTTCGAGAAGTGAGATGAGTTTGGCTGTTTCTCCGGCGGGCAGTGAGAGACGGAGATGCTGATCTTACTGCAAGTGATGGCTCTAGGGAAGTGGTTGTGGATCTTCGTGTCTATGACAAAGTCTTCATTAAGGATTACAGTTGGCGTCATCACTGCCGCGCCTTCCAAACCAAGAATCTTGGAGGCTTTCAGGATGCACATTTCTGTTACAGACACAGAGACATATTGAACTACGTGCCACAGTTTTACAAACTAAAATAGACAGTGTCAACTCTATGCTATTGTCACACAAAACAACCTGAATGCTTTAATCTTTACAATCCACCTGGTAAATAATTATGTTTGGACCATGCAAACAAGTGGTTGATAGCATGATCAACAATCTGTGCCCTTGGTCCACCAGATTGGGTGTTGGAGACTCAGGGCCTGGTATTCACACCGGGTTTATTCCGCCCAGTCAGAGTGCACTATCTGTGTATGATGCTACACTCACCATCTTTGTCTTCAGCTATCCTCATCACCTCACTGAAGTAGTGCTCCCTGTCGGCCATCTTGAGATGGGGGCTGCAGGCAATGTGGCAGGCTGTCTTCAGAAATCTCACAGTCAAGGAGTAGAGAACAGCTACTTCACATATCAGGCCTTAGTGTTTATACAGATCCCGCTTAGTTTACAATTGTAACCTTATTGTCTTTGGGTCAAGGCAAGGCAGTTAATTCATACTCCAATATGTGAAAAGGTTCTCATATTCTCATTTTGCTGATTTCAATTTGACAACAGGTGAGATGAGGTGAAATTGAGTTTATCGTCGCTTTCAAGAAGATTTCACTTATATAGCATGTGTGTGTGCATGCTTACATGGCTGTTTGTTCTAGTCCAGACTAATGCCGATTTTAGAGTGCTAGCCCACTGAGATACCATGCCGCAGTTTAACATAATACCCCACTCAGACACAGTATACTGACTCCGAGCCGACCAGTCCTTGTTTTTAAACCCCTAAATCTTGAGCGCCAGGCAGGGTGACAACAAGTACCATCTTCTAAATGCCTTTTGGTATGACGCAGCTTGTTTCAGGAAAGTATCTAAAGTATGTATATATATTTATTATATACCATACACAGAGAAACTTAATTAGGACAGAACCAGTTATTCCAGAAATCTACCCTTCCACTTAATTACTGTATATCTACATTCCTTTAAAAAGAAAAATTACCATTTAATGACTCCATACCCATACTATGGTAATCTGGAATTGTTTGATAAACAGGGTCTCTCAGTATTCCTCATTACAGCTAAAGTGAGGAAGGAAGTTTGTATCAATGCCACTTTTAACAGTATTCCAGTGACATTACGGCGTGTCAGCTTAATGTGGGAGGAAAGCCCAAAGTGACGCAGGTCTCAGACGTTTACCACTTCGGTGAAACACATGAGCATGGCTATGGTTCTGACAAACCTAGAAACATGATCAGGTCAAACCTGACTGACGTTATGATCCTAGGTTCATCGGCATGGTGCTGACAAACCAAGAACTGTAATTTGGGTGAACCAGGATTTGAACCAACAATCATAGGATGCTGGCACAACTAACTCTGCACAGCGAATAGAGGAACAGCTACAGATGCAGGATACTTGGCATTGTCGTCCATCTTGGCCTGGCAGACCGCAAGCTCCAGCATGGTGCCATCTGCCAGGTGCCCCCAGTGCTCTTGTCGGTACATCTTGATGGCATCCAGCAGGAAACCCTCCGCCTTGTGGGGCTCCCCTAGCAGCCTGGACAAACAGAGTGGGGGCACTGAATGGTGTGTTATGTCAGAGTATTAAAGTGTAATCACAGCCTCAGAGTCAAGTCAAACCAATGGTTGATCAGCCAGGTCACACAGGATGATCCACCTATAACCAATTACAGTGGAATTTGTCCAAATCGGACTCAGGTCCTCTCAGTTATTATTGTTCAAACTGATCTACAACTCTCTAATTCGGACACCTCACACTTCAGACTTCAGACTAAAATTACGGTCCCCAAAACCAATATACTATTGAAAAGAAGCTGTCTAAACCAGATCAGACCAGATGTTCTCTCACTTTGAAGTAAGCTCAGTCATTGTCAGCTAAAACAACAATGCTAATCCTGCATGTAATCCTATTGACCTTAACACTTTGTGGTCTGCTTAGTTAATCAGAATTTACTCACTTGTTAATGAGAAACTCAACTTAATGACATTAACTCATGTCATGAGTGAGAAGTATGGTATCTGCAAACAGACTGCCTCTGATATATATATTGTTGCTTTTCGTTTGGTCTTCAGTAAATACAATGTACTCCTGGGGACCTATTCCAACCCAGCATCACACAGGGAATACGCAAAACGTCTGTGATATGATCTGATATGAGTTTGCAAAGCATTTACAGTAATCAAGTCTCATGAGACCTAGCAACAGCTTTAAATAGCATCACAAGAGTACGACGGCACACCAGCTCTGCCAGCTGAGTTAGGCTCTCAAGATGGTTGGCCAAGTCAACATCACTCAAATCCCAACACAAACATGCAAAACAGAACCTTGAATCACTTCAAGGAACATCTTTAATAGTCACTCACATGTAGAAGTCAGCCAGGTCTCTGCCAATAATCCGAGCCGAGCGGAACCGACAGATGTGTTTGTACGTTCCCATTGCCAGCTCACACATTTCCTGTAATGATGAAAGCAATCTTTATTTTCTATCAGGAATATATGAAGCAAGGCCCGGTGAGGTGAAAATGTACTTCAAGGTCCTTTTTAAAATTATTTCAATTATATAGCAAAGTGCATGCAAATGAGTGTGTGTCTGCTTGTATTAGTCCTGACTTATGCCAGGTTTATTGTCCCAGCCCACTGAGATACCATGCCACAGTTTAACAAGAATATCCCACATAGACACAGGATACTCCAAATCAGGCCATACCTTGTTTTATCTGCATAATGCCGCATGTCAGACAGGGTAACAAGAAGAAGTGTGATCTTTTAACGTCTTTAGTTATGACTCAAAAAGGGGATTGAACCACCGTCCTTCCGCTCTCTGGGCAGACGCTCGATCCATTAGACCACGGAGGCAGTTCATGAGTATATGAACTTACCAGGTAATGTTTCTTGTAGGACTCATCTGAAGACAGAGCCTGTCGCAATCTGTCCAGAGGTGTGATGTTGTCAGTAGGCGCTACAATATGAAAACACATTTTTATTCAACTGTTTTTTACTAATTGGAAATTTTATTATAAATTGTATCTCACACACAATACGTCCACCCAACCATCAGGGCATCTAGCCTGATAGCTCTACGTAAGAGAACGAGTAGGCACAGATACACACATCATCAGGTCGTGTAAGGTTACAGTGCACACAGCTACTGGTCAGTAACCAGAGGGAGGCTGGGGTGTGTTCGGGTGAAGTGTTTTGTTTTAGAAGCTGGAAACATGGTTCAAGCACATTTCCTCATTGGATCGAGGAAGAAAGAAGATATGCATAGTGTGAGATTCCAGCTTTCAAACTCAGATAAAAAGAACAAAGTATTAGGAACATACAAATAATGCCTGTTCTTTACAAATGTAATGAAATAAGGGTTATCTGACAGAACTACAAAATCTTAACCAGCTGTAAACCACCAGAAACTGTCAGTTACAACTAATGAGTAACTGACCTGCATTTACCATCATTTCATTCACTGAAAGATTCCTAATTTTCAAAATGTATTTACCCAGGAACAAGTTCCGACAGTTACCATGGTTACATTGACCCTGCAACTAACCTGTATCTTCACTGTTCAGTGTGACCATGCCCGAGGTGAGATCCACTCTACAGCTCAGCTGTTTGGATGTGGGCATGGTCCCGGGGATCAGGCCGCACACGTTCCCTAGTTCCTTCAGCTGAAACATTCAGTGGGTCACTTTCCACGGCTCAGGGATACCAGTTATCCAAATTAATAATGAAATTTGAGATAACTGGCCAACATGTGCGGTTATAACAGCTTAAATCGAATTTGTCAGGACGTCCATTTGTCTTTGCTTGTAGAATTACATGAGCCGTGAAGATCTGGGGTAGAATAGGTCTTCAGCAACCCATGCTTGCCGTAAAAGGCGACTATGCTTGTCGTAAAAGGCGACTAACGGGATCGGGTGGTCAGGCTCGCTGACTTGGTTGATGCATGTCATCGATCCAAATTGCGTGGATCGATGCTCATGATATTAATCAATGGACTGTCTGGTCCAGACTGGATTATTTAGAGCTGTCATATAGCTGGAATATTGCTGAGTGCGGCGTAAATTAACAAACCAACCAAACCAACATGTCTTAGGGGGTTGCCTTTTATTTACTTAACAGTAAAGTATTCAGTAAATTCCTATCATTTGTTGGCCAGAAAGTGTAAGTGTCTTGGCAAATTTCCTGGACACAGGGAACATCCTTGAGGGTGGACCTAGTCTTTCCTTGCCCTCAAGAAGGAGTCCTGACCGACCACGACTCACTCACCTTCCGTCTGGCGTAGTCCCACAGACTGGCGATACACAAAGAGTTCTTGTTGACCCGCGATGACTCATTGTACCGCTCACACGTCTCCAGCACGGCAAGACTACTGAGGAACACCCAGCACCACAGCGCCCCCTGGGGAACCTCCACCTGCAGACCGCAGAACAGTAGGGGTGGGCTAGAAACACTATTGTTGTACGTGGAAAGTTGCATGTGATGCATGGAGTTTGCATTGCGTGTAAGGAGCTGGTGTAGTATAGCTAGTCACTAGGTACTAGTAAGTATGGTAGGTAGGGTGACGTAAGGGGATAGCTGTTGAGGGGCAGTTGTAACACGGTGATGTAGTAAAGACAGTTTTGATTGATGCGAAGTGTTTGTTGAAGTTTGAGTTGATCTGAGTTGTCAACAAGTGGTCGAACTGCCAGGCGGAGATATAACACTATTACTGCTGCAGGATAGACACATAGACCTGAGGACATTCCATTTCAGGTAATGTCATTTGAGGTGTTGATCAATGACGCATGTGCACCACGAACAATAGCAATTCATCAACAGATAGATACATGTTGCTTTATACTGTAGTCAACAATATTGCAGCTATATCATGAGTGGCTGGGAGTCAAATCACAAACCCCACATCCTACACAATACGGGAAACACAAGCAATGACATAGTCATGGTAATGTTTCAGCATCAACATCCCCGGCCAACAACCTGTTCAAAACATGTTGAATGAAGCTACATATAGAATACTAAATGAGCTTCCTTGTAAGACCAATTTTATGAAACGAGTGAATAGTTCTTGTATCTGACGAGCAAAAGCGATTTAGATACAAGAACTATTCATGAGTTTCATAAAATGGTATTACACGGGAGTGTGGTGAGTACATTATTTATTACTTGCCATTTACAACTTTTTTCTAATTTCACTGTCGTGTGTGAATAGGCAGATATCTACACGATCCACAGTAATCCATTGAGTTTTACAGAATAATACTTCAAACAAATCAAAAGTTGTCACATATTAATATAATGCCATACAATAGCCCACCTTTAGAATTATGAAGTCTGTTCAACAAAGCTATCGTAGCCAGAAGGATATCATAACTCCCATACTTTAACATTAACTCGCCTTGTGGAAAGGGTCCCTGCACCACAAAGTTTTACAATGACATCACAATACCCTATGACGTAATTTGTGGAATTCTGTTGCAAGATCCACCGGTGAAACAATGCCATGTGACCTCAGCCTAACCACAGGATTGCTGGGGTCATTGAGTGTGCATAAGCTCCACTCAGTGATCTATCATCTCTACACGCAGTGTCGTTGAATAAGCCCAGGAGTTTGGGGAGTTTTCAATACTTGTAAGTGAAACATGTTCCTGCAGTAAATAAGCAAGGGCTGTGTTATTGCACAATGTGTAATACAGCTGTATTTTTATGAAACGGGTGATCTCTTCACGGACAAGTAGTAAAACTGTAAGTGAGGCTGACCTCGAGTGCGATCATCTCTTGTACGGTGTAGTGGAGGTAGTCCAGAGCCCGCTGGGCCACCTCGCCTGGGCGCTTCAACAAGAACAGCAGCGCACACTGGCGAGAGAACAGGTAGTTGCGGAACTCCAACACACTGGCCTTGTTCATCTTGATGGCGTCCCGCAGCTGGTGGTTCAAGGCCTTGGTGAGGGAGAGACCGCTCCAGTTGCTACATGGCTGTATGAGAGGGGTCAGCCATTTCACATGAGCTGTTGAAAACGAAAGACAAGTCCTCATTTCCTTGCTTAATTTAAACCAGACATGTTTCACTAATTCACTTCATTTTAGCAGAATGTGTTCATGGGTGAAGGAGGAACATACCCAAACCCGTGAAGATGAGAATAACATGGCATCGGCAGATGTATAGAGAAAGTGCCCACGCTTCCACACCCATACACACACAGACACACCCATACACACACAGACACACCCATACACACACAGACACACACAGACACACACTTAGGGAGGGGAGACATCTAACATGTAATCTGTCATGTGAGCCTACACTTAGTGACACGGGTCTAGTGTGCACCTTGTCATCCTGGATAAGCCCCTAGAATAGGCTAAGGCACGTTTTGACATATTCCAGCCAAATGACTTGGGAAATCACACCTGTGTTTGGCATGATGAATCAACAAAATACCCAGGGTTACAACACAACCCCTAGGAACTTCTGACACACTGTAGGGATTCTCAAATGTTTACTTTTTACATTTGTAAATATTGCAGGTTCTTATTGGGATGAAAGAACAAAAGACATTTTGAGTGTGAGTGTGTATGGTTTTATGCCGCTTTTAGCAATATTCCAGCAATGTCACGGCGGGGGACACCAGAAATTGGCTTCACACATTGTACCCATGTCGGGAATCGAACCCGGGTCTTCGGCGTGACGAGCGAACGCTTTAACCACTAGGCTACCCGACCGCCCCAAGACATTTTGATGCATTCAGAGTTTGTACATTGAGGGAATGACGGAAATGGAGTTGTGAAGCCAGATTTATTGTGAAGCCTGGGACGTATAGCCGCCCCCAGTGTGTGACATAGCTGACCCCAGTGTGTGACATAGAAGACCCCAGAGTGTGACATAGCAGACCCCAGTGTGTGACAAAGCCTACCCCAGTGTGTGACATAGTCGACCCCAGTGTGACATAGCCGAACCCGATGTGTGACATAGCCGCCCCCAGTGTGTGACATAGCCAACCCAAGTGTGTGACATAGCTGAACCCAATGTGTGACATAGCCTACCCCAATGTGTGACATAGCCTACCCCAGTGTGTGTCATAGCCTACCCCAGTGTGTGTCATAGCCGAACCCGATGTGTGACAGTCTACCCAAGTGTGTGACACAGCCACACCCAGTGTGTGACAGTCTACCCCAGTGTGTGACATAGCCAACACCAGTGTGTAACAGTCTACCCAAGTGTGTGACATAGCAGACCCCAGAGTGTGACATAGCAGACCCCAGAGTGTGACACAGCCGCCCCTAGTGTGTGACAGTCTACCCCAGTGTGTGACATAGCCAACCCCAGTGTGACATAGCCAACCCCAGTGTGTGACAGTCTACCCCAGTGTGTGACATAGCCAAACCCAGTGTGTGACAGTCTACCCCAGTGTGTGACATAGCCGACACCAGTATGTGACCTAGCCGACACCAGTATGTGACAGCCTACCCCAGAGTGTGACATAGCCAACCCCAGAGTGTGACATAGCCTACCCCAGTGTGTGACATAGCCGACACCAGTATGTGACCTAGCCGACACCAGTATGTGACAGCCTACCCCAGTGTGTGACATAGCCAACCCCAGAGTGTGACATAGCCTACCCCAGTGTGTGACATAGCCAACACAAGTGTGACATAGCCTACCCCAGTGTGTGACATAGCCAACACAAGTGTGACATAGCCGACACCAGTGTGTGACAGTCTACCCCAGTGTGTGACATAGCCAACACAAGTGTGACATAGCCGACACCAGTATGTGACAGCCTACCCCAGTGTGTGACATAGCCAACCCCAGTATGTGACAGTCTACCCGATTGTGTGACATAGCCAAACCCAGTGTGTGCCAGTCTACCCCAGTGTGACATAGCTGCCCCTAGTATGTGACAGTCTACCCCAGTGTGTGACATAGCCAACCCCAGTATGTGACAGTCTACCCGATTGTGTGACATAGCCAAACCCAGTGTGTGACAGTCTAACCCGGTGTGTGACATAGCCAACACCAGTGTGACATAGCCAACACCAGTGTGACATAGCCAAACCCAGTGTGTGCCAGTCTACCCCAGTGTGACATAGCTGCCCCCAGTATGTGACAGTCTACCCCAGTGTGTGACATAGCCAACCCCAGTATGTGACAGTCTACCCCAGTGTGTGACATAGCCAACCCCAGTATGTGACATAGCCAACCCCAGTATGTGACAGTCTACCCCAGTGTGTGACATAGCCAACCCCAGTGTGTGACATAGCCAACCCCAGTATGTGACATAGCCAACCCCAGTATGTGACAGTCTACCCCAGTGTGTGACATAGCCAAACCCAGTGTGTGACAGTCTACCCCAGTGTGTGACATAGCCAACACCAGTGTGACATAGCCAACCCCAGTGTGTGACAGTCTACCCAAGTGTGTGACATAGCCAACACCAGTGTGACATAGCCAACCCCAGTGTGACCTAGCCAACCCCAGTGTGTGACAGTCTACCCCAGTGTGTGACATAGCCAACCCCAGAGTGTGACCTAGCCGCCCCCAGTGTGACCTAGCCTACCCCAGTGTGTGACAGCCTACCCCAGTGTGTGACCTAGCCGACAACAGTGTGTGACCTAGCCGACACCAGTATGTGACCTAGCCTACCCCAGTGTGAGACATAGCCTACCCCAGTGTGTCACCTAGCCGACACCAGTATGTGACAGCCTACCCCAGTGTGTGACCTAGCCGAAACCAGTATGTGACCTAGATGACACCAGTATGTGACCTAGCCGACACCAGTATGTGACAGCCTACCCCAGTGTGTGACATAGCCGACACCAGTATGTAACAGCCTACCCCAGTATGTGACCTAGCCGACACCAGTGTGTGACATAGCCTACCCCAGTGTGTGACCTAGCCGACACCAGTATGTGACAGCCTACCCCAGTGTGTGACCTAGCCGACACCAGTGTGTGACCTAGCCGACACCAGTATGTGACAGCCTACCCGAATGTGTGACATAGCCTACCCCAGTGTGTGACATAGCCTACCCCAGTGTGTGACATAGCCTACCCCAGTGTGTGACATAGCCGACACCAGTATGTGACCTAGCCGACACCAGTGTGTGATATAGCCTACCCCAGTGTGTGACCTAGCCGACACCAGTATGTGTCCTAGCCAACCCCAGTATGTGACAGCCTACCCCAGTGTGTGACCTAGCCGACACCAGTGTATGACCTAGCCGACACCAGTATGTGTCCTAGCCGACCCCAGTATGTGACAGCCTACCCCAGTGTGTGACCTAGCCGACACCAGTGTATGACCTAGCCGACACCAGTATGTGACCTAGCCTACCCCAGTGTGTGACCTAGCCGACACCAGTATGTGACAGTCTACCCCAGTGTGTGACCTAGCCTACACCAGTGTGACCTAGCCCACCCCAGTGTGTGACCTAGCCTACCCCAGTGTGTGACCTAGCCTACAACAGTGTGTGACCTAGCCGACACAAGTATGTGACCTAGCCTACCCCAGTGTGTGACCTAGCCGACACCAGTGTGTGACCTAGCCGACACCAGTATGTGACCTAGCCGACACCAGTATGTGACAGCCTACCCCAGAGTGTGACCTAGCCGACACCAGTATGTGACAGCCTACCCCAGTGTGTGACCTAGCCGACACCAGTATGTGACAGCCTACCCCAGTGTGTGACCTAGCCGACACCAGTGTATGACCTAGCCGACACCAGTATGTGTCCTAGCCGACCCCAGTATGTGACAGCCTACCCCAGTGTGTGACCTAGCCGACACCAGTGTATGACCTAGCCGACACCAGTATGTGACCTAGCCTACCCCAGTGTGTGACCTAGCCGACACCAGTATGTGACAGTCTACCCCAGTGTGTGACCTAGCCTACACCAGTGTGACCTAGCCCACCCCAGTGTGTGACCTAGCCTACCCCAGTGTGTGACCTAGCCTACAACAGTGTGTGACCTAGCCGACACAAGTATGTGACCTAGCCTACCCCAGTGTGTGACCTAGCCGACACCAGTGTGTGACCTAGCCGACACCAGTATGTGACCTAGCCGACACCAGTATGTGACAGCCTACCCCAGAGTGTGACCTAGCCGACACCAGTATGTGACAGCCTACCCCAGTGTGTGACCTAGCCGACACCAGTATGTGACAGCCTACCCCAGTGTGTGACCTAGCCGACACCAGTATGTGACAGCCAACCCCAGTGTGTGACCTAGCCGACACCAGTGTGTGACCTAGCTGACACCAGTATGTGACAGCCTACCCGAATGTGTGACATAGCCTACCCAAGTGTGTGACATAGCCTACCCCAGTGTGTGACCTAGCCGACACCAGTATGTGACCTAGCCGACACCAGTGTGTGATATAGCCTACCCCAGTGTGTGACCTAGCCGACACCAGTATGTGTCCTAGCCGACCCCAGTATGTGACAGCCTACCCCAGTGTGTGACCTAGCCGACACCAGTGTGTGACCTAGCCGACACCAGTATGTGACAGCCTACCCCAGTGTGTGACCTAGCCGACACCAGTGTATGACCTAGCCGACACCAGTATGTGACCTAGCCTACCCCAGTGTGTGACCTAGCCGACAGCAGTGTGTGACCTAGCCGCCCCCAGTGTGTGACCTAGCTGACACCAGTATGTGACCTAGCCGCCCCCAGTGTGTGACCTAGCTGACACCAGTGTGTGACCTAGCCGCCCCCAGTGTGTGACATACCTCCTGCTGCATGGTTCTCAGCAAACTGTGTAAACAGAGCATCCAGCTCATCATACTGAAGCAGCGCGTCGTCGTACACACCCAGGATCTCAAACATAAAGGCCAGCTCCTCCTGCATAGTCACAGAACATAAACAATACAAATAGTTGGTTTACGGATGCACATAGCAATATCTGTCAAAGATGGCAGTCTGTAAATAATCAAGTCTGGATTAGACAATCCAGAAATGACATCAGCATTCTCCACGCAGTTGTGGTACGATGACAAACAATACGCGAAGTCCCTGAGTCTGACCACCCAATCCACAAAGTCTGCTGGGTACTAATAGAGCAATGGATATCTTAATCTCGCATGTAACATTTGCTCTTACATGATACATACTGATCATGGATATATTGTTATACCTCTATTAAGAATCTTGCAATTCCATTGGTTAATCTGTACCATGTGACGAAACAATACATTTCAATATAGACCCCCAAATCATGTGACTGACACAGACATCGAATATTGACTCATCACATGATCAGAATTGACTCATCACATTTCCTGCTGGAAAACAAGATGCCGTCTGGTATACTAACATTTTACGGTTTGCAGGTAATGAAACAGGACAGTGTAAATGCTTCAAAAACTGAATTTAGTCACTGAATGATAACTCTTGAAGAGGTCAATATGCAAGAGCAAGGACCCTCAGAGCCGACCTCTCGGCTATCTGAACAGACCTCGACTGGCGACCTCGGTCCGGTCAGACCACCTCAGGGGTCGGGTCCTTGGGTCCTTCTTTGCGCATATTGAACTCGTCAAGAGTAATTATTTGTATAATAATTGATGACAGAATCCCCTTTGGGTAAAATGAAGTTGAATACAACCATGGTACACATGGTAAATCACCTGCACAACAAAATATTCCATGTAGTTCCATCCTGGTTCATTCCGCTTCTCTCTCAGCGCCCGCATGTTGTCCTCAAAGCGACCCAGCTGCCGATTATACGCAGTCAACAGTAGGGGGCGGAGCTTGATGAAGAAGTTATACCAGGACTCGGCACTCTTAGGGTCAGTCTTCATCGGCTCTGTCAGCACCAGACATCTGAAAACAAGGTCACTCGCCAGTGGTACAGTTGAAGGAAAATGTGATCTTCATCACTGCAGCTGACATACACTTGTGTACTCAGAGACATTAAATAGTGTATTTATATACTTATCCAATCTCACACTATGCATTTCTTCCTTCTTTTTTCGATCCTATGAGAAAATGTGCTCGAACAAGTTTCCAGCTTCTAAAACAAATCACCCGAACACGTGCGTGCGTGCGTGCATGCTTGCGTGCGGGCGTGCGTGCGTGCGTGTACTAGTCCGGACTGATGCCGACTTATAGTGCTAGCCCACTGAGATACCATGCTGCAGTTTAACATGAATACCCCACTCAGATACTGACTCTGAGCCGACCAGTCCTTGTTTTAACCCATTGATGCGGATGAGAGAGACGAACCGGGGTAGCTGAGCATTGAACCTGGTGGAGAAAATTTAATGGTGGACGTCTGGGCTTAGGTAGTTGGCAGATCAAGTGGAAGATCATCGGGTGGAGACGCCATTCAGTGGGTGACGGTCGGTTGGGTCAGTATAGGGTGTGTGTTTTGACATTGTTTATGCTGGGGAAATGTCTTGCTTGAACCTGAATGTTCAGGGAGTCGATTAGCTGGAATACGTTGACTTGGTGGGGCCAATCTTGTTTATATACCAAACAACTGACAGATTGTCTGACATGATCATGAGGTATGACGCACGAAGGAGACCTGCCCAATGGGACACCACCAGAATTTGCGCCTTGAACTCGAGATATGGAGTTGCTTCTCTTCGATGGACCAGAGTCCTGCTGCCTGTAGATCATGGAAGTGTGCTGCCCAAGCCATGGTTGACCAAGTAACTGTTGCCACTGGCATTGAAGGAGAGGCTGTCTGAGTGCCAATGGCATAAAACGCTGTTTCTTCAACATGCTGCCCAGTCAGGTGTCGAAGAGAGCCCCGATGAACTGGAGCTGATGACTGGGAACTGTCTCAGACATTGACAAGCCTCCCAAGCTGATGGAGAAGCCATTGCGGAAAGTCGAAATAGTGCATGAGGAAGTCTGGATCTGCGTTAGCCTGAATACAATCATCGATGTAAGACTTCAATATGATCCCTTGGATGTGCAGGAACTTCCTGATGGGCTTGATAATACGGGTAAAGAGCCATGTGGATGAAGAAATTCAAAACGGGAGCACCTTCCATTGGTAGTGACGGATGCATCAGGAACGGACTGTTGAACTGGCACAGTAGGGACGTCGTTTGTGAGGAAACTGTCAGAAATGCCGTCATTGGCCATCGTTAGAGCAGGCAAGGTGGATTCTGTAGGTGGTTTGGCCACTGAAACAGATGAGGGGACAGCTGGCTCCCTCGACTTCTTAGATATCATAGTGGAAGACGACCCATGTTCCTTGTCCCTAGTTTTTGAGCGCCTGTCAATTTAAGGTCCGTGGCAAATGTTGAAGGATTTTTCTGTAAGATGGGCACACTGAGAACATTGCTTGTCAGTACTGCAACGACCACGACAGTCACAGCATAGGTCTTGAGGGGCCGAAGTGGAGAAGGTATGCCTACACTCAAGACAGGCCAGGTGGTTTTTATGTTCCATACTCATCTTCCCTCAGACTTTATCATAAAATCAATACGATGTTGGAGGGAAATCAAGCAAAAACAAAAAGAAGTATTTTCTGAACTCTCAGTGCATGTCTCCACAGAGTGGTGATGAGAAAGATGAGGTCTTGTGGGTCGCTACACGAGATTACATTGTGTGACCCATTTGTTTGGGTGGTGACCATGGTGTATGCTGGGATGTGTTCGGGTGATTTGTTTTAAGAAACTGGAAACTTTGTTCAAGCACGTTTCCACATAGGATTGAAAGAAGAAGGAAGAAATACATAGTGTGAGATAAATTAACTGTTTCCAAGGTATATTTAATTTCTCCTTGTTAAGGTGTTCATAAATAATTTTTAAAACTTGACAGCTACAAAAGATTTCACACTGTTTTTATCGGTGAGAAGGGATGTATCTTGGATATCAAACTAAGTGCCCTTGGCCATGTTAGCAGCTCAACTGGGAAAGAAATTGTTAGATTGTTCAAAATTAAGATTTCATTCGGATCCATTTTCTTAAATTCAGAGGCACTTCACCGAAACCTGGTTCGCCCTGGTTATGTTTCTAGGGTTGTCAGCACCATACCCATACTCATGGATTTCACCAAAGTGGTAAACGTCTGAGACCTGCTTTACTGTGTGCTTTTCTCCCACATCAAGCCGACAACGGTGATATAACTGTAAACCTCTTCGAAGTGGATTTAAATTGAAGTCACTCATGTCATTCATCTTTTCAATTATCAGCAATCTCACCTTTCTTGTGCCTTGTTGCAGAAGTCATTCTTGACCTTGTCTATCACAGATGACCTTGGGAGAATTTTGGATTTAACTTTGCTTTCATCCATGACGACCACCACAATCAACCAATCAGGTATGTTCTTTCCCTTCAGTGCAGCCTGCCATTCAGCAATGTCTTCTTTCACTGTCTGCTTGTAGCCTTCTAGGTCCTACACAGCACAAGATAGTCACATGAGAAACAAGGCATCACTTTGCTTCATGTAGTAACACCTCAACACATGCCAACAGCAAACAACCGTGTTAATATAGAATATCAATGCGATGTTGGTGAAGGTGATTGTGAAGCATGGCAGGATGAAGTTTGTAATGCCACACTCAGCAATATTCCAGCTATTTGACAGGGTTATGCAAATAATTGAGTCTGGATCAGACAATCCAGTGACTGACATCATGACCATTGATCCACATGATGACCTACTTCAATCAAGTCACCACCCGATCCTGTTAGTCGCCTCTTAGGGCAAGCATGGGCTACTGAAGATGTATTCTCTACCCGGGGCCTAATGTGTTGGTTGATAGAAGTATCACTATTGACTGGGTGCTAAATTCACTACCCGGACCAGTCCTCACTGACCATCACCTGTGTGTCTTTCTGTATCATAAATATAAATTAAGGTGAGTGTGTGTTTGCTGTTTAATGCCACACTCAGCAATATTCCAGCTATGATGGTGGCCTGTTAATAATCAAGTCTTGTCCAGATAATCCAGTGATTGATATTGTAAGCAACGATCCACGTCATTGGAGTACAAAAACTTGCAATCAACCAAGTCAGCAAGCCCAATACCTCTTCCGTTAAGTTGCCTCTTATGACTAGCATAGGTTGCTGGGGACACTCATCTTAATATATTTGCTCACTACGCAGATGTTCACTGAAGTCCCCAAGATGATTATCAAGTTTCCAAGCATGGTTCTATTACATGCACTTACACAGTCTGTCCAGTATATATGGAAGTACGGTCTACTGATGAGGACTCGGTCATCTTCTTCAGGAAGGATGTCAGCATCGTAGGGAACAAAACTTGCTTCGAGTTGCAAAGTGCGAGGTGCTCGACCATACGATCTAAAACATCAATATAATTATCACAACCATGACAACATACATGTTGAATGTATTTCAAAATGCATGTTTTAAAGTTAGTCCCATAACTACAGTGTCTGTAGTATTATGTATGAATAATCATAATAACTGGTAAGGTGAGCTTAACGTTGCGTTGAAGATTATTGCAATTATACAGCAACATAAAGGTACATGTATGTTACTGGCTACTTGTACTAGTCCAGACTTATGTTGGTTTTATAGTGCTTACCCATTGTCGCAGTTTAATGTGGATACCCAATTCAGACATCATAATGAGCTTACCAGTCCTTGTTGTTATCCCCTGAGCGACTGGCAGGGTAACAACTACCATCTTTTAACATCTTTTGGAATGACATAGCCATTGTTACTACCTTCACATATTGTTATTACTATACGCATGATGCTATACCCATTTAGCCAGTTACAACACAAAACCAAGCACTACCATCAACTACCACGTCTCTGGCCCCATTTCTCCACAGAGGGTCAATTTTGAGAAGTTACGAACTACATACACCATACATCCATCTATCAACATGATCGACTGTCATGATAGCGGATACCTTTTCCATTCACATGATTCCTTTGGTAAACCACTGAGAACAATGGGATGCAGCAGAGAAAACAAGCTTTGGTCTCCGTGGCCTGCAAAACAAAAATCAGGTGATAAGAAAGTCAATGATGCATGAACAATGTTTTCAGAAATGCAAGTACATGAAAACAGCATTTTGACATTGGGTTTTTAAAACAATTTAATTCATATAACCACTGATTATATAAGTACTGGTTATCGTCAAACTCTGTAAATTTCAGTCATAGGTGAAGACATAGACAACCGTTTTGTTTATTTTTAGTAGATAGTTTAAAGGCAGTGGCTTGTTTATCTAATGATAAATAGACTCAATGACCATCAATGGTGAATGCATTGATGCTGATGATTATCATGATTATAGACATCTTCCCAAGGCAAGAGAACTGACTGCAAAAGTCCAGTTTCAACCCATCTAACTACACTGAAAATCTGTAGCTCGATCGCAGTGCCACCAGTGGCTATTACGAATTATGTCCCTTCTACGTCCCTCCTATTGACCAATGAGATTCCACCTCTCATATCAATTGCATTTGCTTCAAACAAAACGGCAGCAGTCAAGACGATCTGATTGATAATCAAGATCTATTTTGTAATAAAATAGGTCTTACCTCGCAAAGTCATTTGAGCACCTTAAATTAAAAATGAGAAAGGATTTGGAAAATATCTGTCGACGCCCTGTTAACAGTACATGTTTTGCAAATTCTGCAGTCGACAGAAATCGGCATGTTAAAATCCATGTTGTTTAGGAACTGTATGTCTGGTTCTTTGCGCGATTTTGATTGGAATATGCATAGTCTTGTTAGTCCAGCCAAACTTTAACTCTGGAATTCCAGCCTACATGGCCTAATTCGGCAAGGGTGGAAACTGTCCACAGGAAGATGGATTATAATATAGTAAATTAACATGTTTAGTCATGTCGCTCATATTCAATCAAGTTAATGTTAATTAATGTTTATTTTCCCTATACTTTCTTTTTTAACTTATATGACATGTGGTGCCGTTATCACCAGTTAAATCTTTTGCCATTAAATGGGCACTGATCTAACGCAATTCCCCGGACTGGTTGTTGCCTTTGTTATTGTTTTTTCCCCGTGAGTACCCGGATGATACGCAACGCAACTGACCGTGACAAGAGACTGGGCTACCATCTGCAAGGACAGCTAAATAAACTTGGAGGCTGGAGGCAATATTTGTTTTATGCATTTTTGAACACTGATTGGTTAACTGTGATCTATAAAGATTACGACAAAGGGCGCATGTTAATTAATTTCTTCAGCCTAAACAAACAGACAAAAAGGACGGCGGAGCTCATCGGATGTCGTCATTTGGAAATACCCCAGATGGTTATAGTTTAATAGTGAAAATAAGTATCCATGCAGTGAAAGCATCTTCGGATTTCGAATTGCGTCGATAATACGATTACTACTCCCTTGTTGTCATCCACGTTTTCTGGTATAACCCTACACTTGTGTATTTGTCGTCATTCACTTGATGCTCAGTTAATGAATTTATTACAGGTACAGTTAGTGGTAGCACTACTTAGATTACCTGACAAAGGTTCCCATTTGGCATTTATTGTGTCTTGGATAGTTATTCAATCTAAATCCAGGTTTGAAGTGAGGTGAAATGTGTGTTATGTAATATGCACGTGGCAGCCCAGCAAGAGGTGAATGATCAGTTGATTTACTTTTTTTGTAAATCAACGGATCGTTCCTAGTCATCAAAGGATTAACAGAAAATATGTTGATTGATTAATCACTGTTATCTTGCACAGTGGATATGTCAAAAGGGAGTGTTTACATGTCTAGGTTTACTAAAACAAAGGGAATACACTCATATCATGGCGTGAAGTGCCGATGTAAAAACAACATACTTTGTTCAAAGGGTTAACTGATAATACATTGATTGATTGCTCATTGTTATCTATCACTCAATGGATTTTTTAGGAACCGTGGACGTTATGAAAATAGTTTTCACGTGGGCTTTCTCAGCCGACCCTTGAGACTTGACACCTATGTGAAACACCTGAAACAATCTAAGTGATCAGTTGAGAAACGAACACGGGTTATAATATCCCGAAACAATATATAGCTTTTAAAATATGTGATTGTTACAGAGACACGTGGCATCAAATAAGTTTCTTTGTACAGCTGCAGACGAGTCGGATATTGTTCCTTTGTGTGGATATTCATCGATACATTCCTGGAACAAGGAAGCTGCCTAAAATTATACACATAAATTTGGTAGGTTGTAATTATGGTATTTGCATTTTGTTTTCCTACATTTTCTGTAGCATTGAACCGATTCGTTCTTGTTCCTCTACGTCTTGGTTGGGAAATCCTTCAATGTGCGATAGACGTTGTTTTCACAAGTCTTTTTCTTTGTAAGCGTGTATATATTACCGTCAATTTGTAAAATGTGATTCTCTCAGGCAATTTATAAAATGTGTAAATATTTCAGTCATTTTGACTGAAAAATCTGTCCAGATTGACTAAAATTGATTAAGACGATCAGGGCCTAAAACATCACAACAGATTATTATGTAGGATTAGAAGCCAAACAACATAGAAAAGTACTTTTCAACATAACATTTTCAGTCTCTTGGTGATGACATTAAACATCAAAATGTTTGGAATTCGTTATCATAATAATACAGATGGAAATGTTTTTCAGTCACTTTGTAAAATAACTGAACATTTAGGCGTTTTATTAATTTGAAAATGTTACACATTTTGAGAGTAAAAAACTATACACACTATAAAAATGCTATGCTCAGGTGAAATATTTACTTTGCGTTGCAAGGCAAAATAGTGTAAACGAAAATCGCAAAATTACAAAGCAAGTGACTTATCAAAACTCACCATTAGGCTACCGATGCTACCCACAAAGATACCTACATTTCCTTATTATCTCGAAAACTTTTTCATTTTGTTGATCAATGTGACCATACGCCCTTATTACTAACCATAAAAGTGACTAATGCGCTTACGAATTGCGCAGCAGAGGTCGCGAACTAGTCTAGATTTCTGCTATACATCTGGGTACTCACTGGGAAAAAACAATAACAAAGGCAACAACCAGTCCCGGGGAATTGCTTTAGATCAGTGCCCCTTTAAGCATGTTAAATCTTATTTGGTGCCATTTTCGCCAGGCATATGGTTATTGCTGTCCAGATGCAATGCCCCTTCTGACTGATTCCTTCCATGCAAATTGCTTGGTCTAAATCATTTCCTTTCAATTTGGGTCAGACAGGCAACTGCAATATGAAATCACCTAGTACTGCACTTTACCACATTGATTTGGCACCCTTTTTCAGACTTCAATGGGCTCTGTGCTGTGGATCACGTTTCAAGATTGAAGATAAACTAGGCTAACGAGTAATCTAAGTAGTTAACACTTTCCCATCAGACCACAGGTGCTATAACAAATAGTTCTCGTTTGCCTAGTGATGGCTTGAAACCTGGCATGTTTATCACGTTTCTGTACAGTACTTGGATGACAACAATTAATTACTGATTGTCTACCTTCATACACATGCACCGTAGCGATTTTTCTCTGCGAAATTCCATATCATTTTACACAGTTTACTATACATCACACTGGATTAATTCGTTATAAGAGGTATAGACAGCAAACCCATCACAAGTAACACTTAGGATTGTAAAGGGGTACCGACAGTCAAGATTTGCACGCGGAGATCAATAAAGACCACAGTCGGGGCCATTTAGAGCCACAAGCCGCGCCCGGTAAACTGCACTCTTGTCCACCTATCGACAATAACGATCTTATAAGTTTCCGCAACTTTTACACTCCCTGACAATTCAGATCTAGCCCTAGTCACAGGATAGTGGTTTATCAATCCTGACGTTTACACATGTAGCACAGGCATAGTTAATAATGTTTACAACAATTTCAGGATCGTATAAATAAGAATTAAACTTATGCATATGCTACGTACATGTCACAATAGGCTTAGCCTCCATAGTTAGTACGATATGAGAAGGTCTCAATGCAGTCGATTTCCTCCCATTTTGGTTAATAAAATGTGTCCTTCACCTTGCTGTCACTTAGGTAAAGCTAACATTCACAATGTCTTTGAGAAATAGACCTCACAGAGAAACAGGAAGAATAATGCAGTAGCTATCACAGCAGGTTCATGCAATGAATATTTTTCAATTTAAATGTTTATTATTGATAACAATTGAATGTTTATATTTATTTACGGGGTAATTTGTTGGAACATGTTTTGATATAAATGCGGCTGTAAGAGGAAAGTCAAAATGGCGGACGATTTAGATGATGAGTGGTGGTTGAAAGGGGATAATGCACCACGTGGTCGGTATTTTTACATTATTTACTCCAAAAGTAGAACGAAATGTTTATGAAAGTATGTATAATCTGTTGTTTTATTGTCTTCCGTTAATTGCTTGTCTGTATCAGCGTATTCACACGGGTTACTGGTCGCCCAGTCAAGTCGGGGATAACCACGCGTTCCTCACCATTAGCCTACCTGAAAACAGCCGGTAATTTCGTAACCCAAATGAATTCGTACCCATAGAAAATTATTTATTTCTTATTTCGTCGTTCTGTTATTGAGATCTAAGTCTAGATTTTTATTTTACGTAGCATAATTTATTGGCTATTGCATAGGGGTACGAAGTTTGTGTTACAGATTTTCTCATTTTTAGCATGTGTTGAGACCTAAAGGTACGAATTCGTTTTGGGTACGAAATTACAACATACACCCAGGTTAATGCCATTACCAACTATTGGATGTCTCCATGCCTTGCTACATGTACACAACCAAGAAAGCTGTATAGTAGGGTACTGAGACTTGTTTTGCTCTTATTTGATTTGCCCTTATTTGATTTGCCCAACGCTGGATGCCAATGTTGAAATAATTATTACAATAAATCATTTTCAGATGAAAAGTCCAGTGATTCAACAGAAGAAAATCAAAGCCAATCTGACAAGAAAATCCAGGATGTCAAGAGAAAAAAGGCAAAGAAAAGAAAAGCAAATGATCATGATGGTGAAAAAGATGAAATAAATGGAAAGAAAAAATTGAAAAAGGTTCCTAAAATTGATGAAACACTCGTAAAATCTGATGAGGAGAAACCAAAGAAGAAAAAGAAGAAAAAACGAGCACGGGTAATGAAGTGATGTTATTTAGCACATGTTTAGCTGACATGGACATTAACTGTGCCTACAAGACAATGATAATGCCAAGTCCAATGCTGCACTCAGAAATATTAGAGCTAAATAATGGCGGCTTCTTCAAAAAGAAATTAAGAACAAATATGCTAAATAAATTACAGTTTTCATCTTGCATGTATGCAGATACGCTAATACCCCGTTCACATGGGCCTCTTTACTTATGTGTGTAGAAATACATATGTGAGTATACTTGTCATGTGAACGCGTTTACTCGTGTGTATATTTACCCAAGGAGCATATTTGCATCATGTGTGGATGTAAATTTGCACTGTGTGTATATGTTGCAATGTGAACGTTTATGTCCATGTAAGAGGATGATCTAATTAATATCTGTTCTTTTGCCAACACCAAACAATTTGTCAGCAGTTGCTTTCAAGGAGTCAAAACTTTGTGTACAAATTAAATCAAACGCATGTTGCTGCACGAGAAAATTTTAGGTAAAGTAACTCTCTTCTCATTCAACTTTGATTGGAAAACAAGATGTTTTGTGTTGTAAGTTGTGAACACACTGACAAATATGTGTGCCTAACACAATTTACATACCTTATTTACACACCTAAGATGCTTTTTTTATGTGAACACATAATAAATTTACATATACGCACATATGTATAGTTACACATGTGTAAAAATACTTATGTTAGTAAATGTTGTGCATGTGAATGGGGTATTACATGTTTAACCCATGCTTGTTGAAAGTGATAGGATTTCATGTGTTTAAGTCACTGTGCAGTTTTGTGCCTTTGGTGGTACATTTAAATTGCAGATTTCCCTCATTTATGATCCTTGGGCTGTCGGCACCATTCCCATGCTTGTGTTACCAAAGCAAAATCCTGAGTCTCATTCCGCCCACATTAGCATGATTAGGTAGAGGTATTTTACAGAAGTAGTTTTTCAGTCAGTTAACTCCCTTACCTCAGGAAGATGTAAGTAGTAAAATGTTAAATGAGGCAGTCACTCACTATCATCACGATTCATGTAAAGAAATTTGACAAGACTTACTCATTTACTCATTTCAGAAAAGGATATCTGAAGAAATATCTGGTAAAACATTAAATCCAGCTGAGAAAGATGATTTTCTGCAGTTGTTAAAGAAAACATACGAGGGAAAACTGTCAACAGTTGAATGGGATGAAATCCAGCTGGAAGGTAACAGAATGGTTGCTATGGTGTTTGGAATATAGTATGATTCTATATTATCGCAGGCTTTGTATTATCGCAGTATCGATAAATCTCGTAATCCACACCCTTTCTAGACTGTTAACTTATGCAAATCTAAGCACAATATTTCATTGCTTGATCGAATACAGAACTCGTTGTAGTATGTCATAGCTACTAGTATATAAGTATACTCATTAATTTTTTTATGATAGTTTCTGGAATGTTTTGGGGGCGGAATTACCCCTGCATTTTCTCCATTCAATATTGGTTAGAAAAGAACCCGTTTGTTTGGACGATGTCCCTTGACTCAACCTAGATTGCATTGATGCTGATTATGTATAGTCCAAAACAGGAAGTGATGTAAACCACATAACCCACACTCATCACACCACAAAATAGTAATACCACAATAATATAGTGTTGGCCGCCCTTGAATTGCTAATGACAGGTACTTTGTTTACCGAACACAGTAAAGAAAATCAGCATCAATCAATCCTAACAGATGTCATCAAAAGAACATCAACAAAGAACAAGAAACATTTTGCGTATCACATATTTAATAGGTTAGTAAGCATTCACAATTACAATCCATTATAAATTAACTACCGCGATATTATAGCGTATCATGCTACATCATTAGTTATGTTATGTCTCGGATGTTAAGTTCCATTTGTATTTGTGTATTTTCATGTGATACTCATGTTGATAAGCTTTGGTTTATCTCAACTGCAGACATGACAAACCAATACCTTAGCGATCTTATTGCTAAGATGATCATAACTCTCTTACAATAGTGGTAAGCCATCTGTAAGACAACCCTCAGTCATGGCCTGACGTCCGACGGGTTTCAGGGGGGGCTGAATAGATAATTAGATACCTTGATCTAAGAGTTGACAGGAATGGTATCTACTGCTTGTTGTAATAGTGTACTAGATAAGTAGGTGTTCATGAAATGAACCTTATAAGCTCTAAATGAATGGTATGGTCCCTGTTGGGGATCCAGGGCAGAGTTTGTCTGCAGTGCTCCATGCTTGGTGAAGTGACTAATGAGGATCAGGTAGGTACTGAGTGTGCCCTGGCGGATTGTGTTGCTCCATGTGTCGGCCACCTTGGCCCTGGTGTGCTTGGTCTGACTGCTGGTTGTGTGCCATGTATGATCTGATTGTGTAACAGTGTGCCCTGACTACGTGGATCTTTGCTCATGCTATGAACCACTTATTTGCCAGGTACAGATTTGATTTCAGTCCACTTAGATATTTCTTGAATTTTGTTTTTGTCGACATGGTCAAAGTGCAACACTTATTCAGCAGACAGTGGTGTAGGTTGGATACTCATTTGCTAGTTTCTTGGGTCCAGACTTATTACGGATGGCTGTGGTACAAGTTTTATATCAAGGAATTATACTTCAGCTGCAGACTTCCTCATGAGCAACCCTTCCTCTGATGGGACAGCGCCGTGTAGTTACTTGCAGTCGGTAGTGCCAGACTGGCCCAGCATGGTGGCAAGTCAAGACCTGAAGCCAGGGACTCCGTTCATGTTGATTATTGCCAGCTCAGGAGCAAGAGCTGTAGAACTTAACAGGTACGTCAGCGCATCTGCATTTGTACGTCTCAATTATAATGAATTCTCTCACAGCTATTGTTCAGGTTGACTCATAAAGATCCGTGTAGGAATATGTCTTCAGCAACCTAGGCAACTATCCTTGTCCTAAGATGCGACTAATGGGATCAGGTGCTCAGACTCGCTGACTTGGTTGATGCATGTCATTGATCCCAATTGTGATGATTGATGATAACAATGTCAATCACTGGTTTGTCTGGTCCAGACTCGATTAGACTGCTGTCTAGCTGTATTATTGCTGAGTGCAGTGTTCAACAACAACAAACAAACATTGTTCAGGTTGGATTTTTAAATATTTTCTCTTTTTTTTTACAGAATATAACTAAAAACTAAAAGATTTGCATGATTTGCTAATGTAGGTGGATATGCATATTCGGGTGTTCGGGTGATTTCTTTCATTTTGTGTAACCTAAAATGCCCCTTTGTAAAAGAGATCTTTGATTCTTACTGTTTAATTTTTCAGGGATATTCAGAAATTCAAGGGCAAAGACTGTAAATGTGCAAAGCTGTTTGCAAAACATTTTAAGGTAAGTTTCACTGTGTACATGTTATGATGATTCGTGTTGCTTAAGGGGCGGTCGGGTGGCCTAGTGGTTAAAGCGTTTGCTCATCCCGCCGAAGACCCAGGTTCGATTCCTGACATAGGTATAGTGTGTGAAGCCCATTTCTGGTGTCCCCAGTCGTGATATTGCTGGAATATTGCTAAAAGCGGCGTAAAACCATACTCACTCACTTGTTGCTTAATAAAGGTACTATAGGGAGGTAAGCCTGCGTCTACAGTTGCTGAAGCCAGATATGTCTGATAAGCTCAATTTTTCATGCTTTGGCTTCACCTTTATTTACAATACCTCAGTTTTATGTTTCCTCAATTGTGAAAAACAGTTGAGTGTCAGGTTATGTGTAGGAACATTGCTCTGTGAGTAATACATAGAGGATGAGTGCCAGTACTTTATCAGGATATAAACATACTGTTGCAAGAACGAAGTGTGAGGTGAAAAAGTGTTTTATCAGAATATATACTTACTGTTATATCCTGATTAAGTACTGGCACGAGTTCTCTATGTATCTAAGACCACAGGCAAAAAACTCCACTGTTCCCATTCAAATGAGATTAAAAAATTTCATAGAAACTGTACTGTGTGTGCAGTGAAGTGTTTATTGTTTGAGGCCTGTCGTGCTGAAATGTACAAGTTAACAAAACACGAGAGTTTCACAGTATTTTATCAGCATATAAATGTACTCCACCTGACTAAAATATAGGGCTGGTTATCGATATGGATTACTCAGATCGATTATCGGTAGTCACATATCGATCAATAATCGATAAATATCAAAGAATTCTATTTTGGTAAAATGACATTACAGAAAAATGGCAATTCACTTCTCCGGAGACTCAGTGTTTCAACAATACGCACGTTACTTCGCATTTTTAGCGATGAACAATCTGAGTTTAAGATTCATGTCGTCAAAGACAATTATTATTTGTATAAAGTGAGAATACCGTATTTTCTTGAGTATTCCTTTTAATATTGTTTTTATTAATTTCGGCGAAATCGTGTGTGAAGCGATCGGAAGATCGCACAACTCACCGTTATTAACAGCAACCACGGTCAGAATACCGCTATTGACGTCTTGAAACGAACTTTAGTTGACAGAGAATGGATACATATATCATAAATGACATACTTTGACTCGTTAAAAGTCATATTTGTTTTTGTTTGACGATTCTATGTCAACATGAAATTCTCGCGATCACGTGCGCGTGAGCCTTGACGGTGACTGGTCAGACTGGGTCCATGTAAAAAATAATACCCGGGAATAGCGATCAGCTGCTTCGCTTAGGGTTATTATCTATTTTAAATATGTTTAGTAAAGGCTGTATATAATTAAGAAAATAATGGAATATATTATTCTTGATAAAAAAAATAGTTTCATATACAATTTTTGCCGATCCTTGCATTAAAAATCCTATTAAGTTATATCATTGGGTGTGTCTTGACTGAATCACCAGTCGATTCCAAGAAAACGTGTACAGTGGGTGAAAATCTCAACACCGTAACAATTTCCCACTTGACCTGTACATCAGTAGTTTGTTTGCAGAAATGTATTTTAAAATATTTGATTTCCTTTTCAAGACTATTCACAAGTAGATTACCTTTCTTCAAATGTAAAATGCTAAAAAAATGTACTTTCAAGTTAATATTTGTTTGTTTATAAGCAAATATTTTCTGGATTTACTAAAAACATGGCTGTCCCTCAGCTGGACCAGAATAAAAAATAATACCTAATCTATATCTAAATATTCTAAAAATGTAACAAATTTTGTTTTTCACACTCTCAAATGAACATTAATTACATGTATCCTATCATTATTATCTAAAACCTAATTGAAAAAAAAATAAATAAGAAAAAAAAGATGTCCCTCAAAAGGCACTCAACTCCGTTACAACGTACCAATACTAAAAAAATAACTGTGCTATGGGAGATAACTCTCATACGCTTCCTCTTTTGGCAACATGTGTATGAAGTTTATCTGCTGGTGATAGATAGATGCCACATTTATGTACAATGTTCAAGCCAATGACATCAAGATATGTCTGTTAAGTACAGTATGTTTTCTGAGCCTCAACTCTGTTACACTGTCTATAGATCTATATCTCATTCTAATTTCCTTCACTTTTCCAAGAGAAATTGGTTAGCAAGACCATGTTAGCAGTGAGTATTTTAATTTCCATAAAAAGCAAAGCATGCTGGGATATGAGCCATTTATAGTAAGGTTTCTCAACTCCATTACACTCAACTCTGTAATGCTGTACAGCGTAACGGAGAGGAAAAATTTGTGCATCTGCACAATTTCGATAGTTATTGTCAGTACATAGCTTTGTTCTTCACGAATATTTTATTTTATTTTAACCCTATACCTGACAAATAATTTTCCCACAGTCTGGAGTAAGAACTTTATTTTTAAATAGTCACTCAGACTGCTCTGATGTTTTGGATGAACAAGATGTTAGGACCTGTGCAAAATGTGGATTTGATTCTATTGATAGCGCTCTTTCCGACAGTGGACTAATTATTGAAGACAGAACTGGTGTCTTTTACATTGATGGGAGTGCCTGGCTATTGTGTTTTGGCTGCAGAAAGCAATTTCATTATGCATGTATAAACAACATATTTTCTGACAGTGTTGATGATATGATTAATCTGAAATTTGATCTTGAAGTTTTATAATATATTATAGTGATCTAAAATGGCATTTTAAGCAACTTTGTGCTTATTTATTTCAACGTCTATACAAAGGGTTGAACATTAGTAATTTAGTAGACCCACTTTTGTATGCCATTACTGCAGTAACTGGCTCATAAACCATGAGTACCAAAGTCCTGACAAGTAACACAACACAGTGCATGTATTTTCACATTTCATCTCAAAAGGGATGAAAAGGTTGTTATTTTATGCTTGAGAGCAATAACAAAATATATGAGTTACAACTCCGTTACAACAAACTCAACTCTGTTACGTCAGGATTTTTTTAATAGATGACTTCTTTTGACAACTGACGAAAAACTTTGTTGTTTTTATGAGTTTTAACTTTAGATTAGGACTAATGATAATATATGTTGTGACAAAAGATGAAAAATACTATATTTTGGATACCGTCTTTCATGTAAATGACTTTGTTGTCTAGGCAAACTTTTGAAATATGGAGCGAGCACTTACAAATGTCCAATCATACATTTTATTTAGCCAGTTTGCATTTGTTTAACACTGAATTGTATTCACACTTAATGTTAATTGCTGAATACGATTTTATATTTCAAAGCAACCTAGCGCTATTAAAATTACTTTCCATTTTGTGATCCGTAACGGAGTTGAATGTCCTAGCAGATTAGGCTAATTCATTAATTATTTTCTAATTAATTAAACACATCACTGCACTGCATTGAAATAGAAAGTACTTCTCAAGTATCATATTCTCTAATATCAAGAGAAAAATTATATTAGGGACACTTTTATTTTTGCAAGTTGATATCAGAAAATTTGTCGGTTTTGAGATTTTTACCCGTGTACAGCTGATTGCTGTTTCCGGCTTAGTTTACGAGAAAATACACAAGGTAATCTTAATCCCGGGATATAAAACAATGCCTAGCAGAACAATAAATACTATTTAAACGGTAAATAAACATGTCTGGTGATTTTTTATCTCAAATTTCGAATTTGTACTGACGAAGTTTCTCATCACCCGTTCGTGTGCCGGACTTCGCTGAAAGGGTACGGTGTAATTTTTTTCTGCGCATAATATTCAAATTTCTTTTTTTCCAAAATATTGAACCCGCTAGAGGGGGGTGCGCATTATACATGGGTGCGCACTGTACTCAAGAAAATACGGTAATTGAGAAATTAAATGTAATTTCACCTGATATAGTCGTTTGTCATTTATGTACAGTATTCACGAAACTATTCAGATAAAAAATCATCAAATATTCCGCCATTGTGAATGTCAGGTGTGTACAGGTGTGTGCTACGTAGTAGGTTGTACTAGGTTCACAGGTGTGATACGTAATAGATTGGGTGGCAGACTGATATTAAACAAACATCGTGCGATTATAACAGGGAAATTAGGAATTTTTGCTGCCATATCGTAAAAATGTCAAACCCCACGTGGGCTGTGAGTTGAGAATACCGGCAAAAACGAAAACCATGATCATTGAAAAAATCGAAACAGACTGGAATACGTAGTTACCAAATAGACATAAAATTTGAAGTTTTATGAAATAGAATGGGAAGAATTCTTTTTAAGAATTAAAGTATTATGAAACCTATTTTAATCATGATACTTCATACTATTTCGAAAATATACATATTTTCTAAAATCCTGACTCTGCATTTAGATGCCAGTGACTACATTTGTAATTACCCACTAACAACACGTAATGGCGTCGTCGTTCGATTCAAAGCAGAACTTTTTACTTTTTCAAACATTTGATTATTATTTGCGACTAAACATAAAGCGAAGGGGAGAAAACTGTATGTTAGGGTGAATCTGTCTGTTTATATCTAGCGATAATTACAAGGACAGCAAAACAAATAAGTCAAATGTGTTGCAGTAAAAACTTTTATTTGTCGAAAAAATACATGTCATTATCGATAGCATTATATTCATATCGATAATCGTTACAACCTTCTTCCATCGATGATAATTACGATTATCGATCTAAATCACCAGCCCTACTAAAATAGTGACCACCCGTTGGACCTGTGCTCTAACTGAACACAACCAATTATTGTTGTATGTACTCTCCAGAGTTGTTCCCCTTGGTAGAATGCACTCTTTGGTTTGAAGTACAGTTCACAAATCTTTATCCATGTTTTATCCATGTTAGGATCATAGTCATCGATTTTCATCCAAGATCTACATAACTGCATCACACAATATACCTGGATGCCATTCACAGCAGCGTAAAACTCAACTTCGTCATTCATTTTGTAGTTTCCTATTATTGGAACATGGTGGTGTTTGGCACCAATAGTTGAACATGTATCATTTTATGATTCATATTCATACCCTTTTTATTTTCAGTTAGCAGAACAAGTGCAGTTTTTGGCCAAGAAAGTCTGTCATCTCGGCATTGGCACACCGAATAGAATTGGTGCATTGATAAAGTCAGGTATGGAGTTCTTGGTTGGTTGTCTCATTCATTGCATACAGCACATATTGTGAGGCGGGAATACAAAAGATTTCCCTCTGCAATGGGATGTACCATGTAAAATCTTTCATAAGCTTTGGCATGTTTGGTGGTTGGGTTTGAATTGTTTCTTGCCTCAGAAAGAAATGGCTTCTTCTTCCTTTGTGAATGTTTTATTGAGACCAGAACTATCCTAAATTTGGCAAAAATAAATACCGTATTCGACGTAATAAACGCCCTGCTCTAATAAGCGCCCACGGCGATATTTGCTAATATATTGGCTAGTGAACAATACCAATTAGCACCCCTTCCGATTGATCAATGTACACAACACTTATTTATTCGCGTATAATACGTATGTGTGTTATATGCACCCTTAATTAAGGGCATTTAAATTCTGGAAAAATGTATCTCTCGTATATAAACAGTTCAGGCTTTTTCACCAAAATAATATTCAAATAAGAGCCCCCTATTTCTAATTTTGAGAGCGCCCTGGGCGCTTATTAGGTCGAATACGGTAGATGGTGTGTTTTTTAGCTGCTTTCAAAGTTTTATGTAAAACAACAACTATAATATTGAACATGTTAGGTCTGGCTGATTTCATCTTGTGTCAGTATTGTGAAAAACATCCAGTCTGACCAATGACTGTAACAAGTCAGCAACAGAAATTGATATTCTTGTTAATGTTACTGTATTTCCAGGCTCATTGAAAGTGGACAACTTGAGATACGTGATGGTGGACTGGAATTGGAGGGACATCAAATTTAAGAGAATTATAGACATTCCTGAAGTGAAGAAAGACTTGTTGGAGCTGTGCAAGAGCGAGCTGATTCCACACATACGAGACAGTTCTTGTAAGATTGGGATTCTCTGATCACACAGGGATAATGGACACCCAGTTGTTGAAGAAAGTTTTCATGTAAAACAATGACAAAGTCTTCAGTTATGACCCTGAAATAAGATGTTCTCAAGGATGGATGTATTTTCAAAAGTATATGATGAAGGAAACGTGTGTTTTTACATGAGTGTGAATTTGAAAATTGTTACATCTGTGAAATGTTTACAGCTCTCTACAAGGTGTCTACAGATATTTTGATGTTGTAGGAAATACCTAACATAACAGGATAAATATTTGTTATATTTGTGTATTTTGTGTAACTGTATGTATGAGAACCCAACACAACATGTGAATTGATAACCATAACAGTTAAGTTTGCAGACAATAAAATCTTTGCCTTTTTAGCTTAGAGACATTTATGGTTGGCATACAGTCAACTGCCAGATGATTTATAAGCAACGGAACTATTGCCGACTGCAGAGTAAAAGAACATACTCCTGTGTGGTCCCAGGTTAGAATAGGTCCCAGTCACTCTAATGCTTGTAAAAATAATGACAAAATAAACCCAGGTTAGAATAGGTCCCCGTCACGTTATTGCTTGTTTAAATAATAACAAGATAAACCCAGGTTAGTATAGGTCCCCGTCACGCTATTGCTTGTATAAATAATAACAAGATAAACCCAGGTTAGAATAGGTGCCCCTCACTCTAATGCTTGTAAAAATAACACAATAAACCTAGGTTAGAATAGGTCTTCGTCACTCTAATGCTTGTAAAAATAATAACACGATAAACCAACATAAACCCAGGTTAGAATAGGTCCCCGTCACGCTATTGCTTGTAAAAAATAATAACAAGATAAACCCAGGTTAGTATAGGTCCCTGTCACGCTATTGCTTGTAAAAAATAATAACAAGATAAACCCAGGTTAGTATAGGTCCCCGTCACGCTATTGCTTGTATAAATAATAACAAGATAAACCCAGGTTAGAATAGGTCCCCTTCACGCTATTGCTTGTATAAATAATAACAAGATAAACCCAGGTTCGAATAGGTCCCCGTCACTCTAATGCTTGTAAAAAATAATAACACGATAAACCCAGGTTAGTATAGGTCCCTGTCACGCTATTGCTTGTAAAGAATAATAACAAGATAAACCCAGGTTAGAATAGGTCCCCGTCACGCTATTGCTTGTATAAATAAGAACAAGATAAACCCAGGTTAGAATAGTTCCCAGTCACTCTATTGCTTGTATAAATAATAACAAGTTAAACCCAGGTTAGAATAGGTCCCCGTCACTCCAATGCTTGTAAAAATAATAACACGATAAACCCAGGTTAGAATAGGTCCCCGTCACTCTAATGCTTGTAAAAATAATAACAAGATAAACCCAGGTTAGAATAGGTCCCCGTCACTAAAAAATAATAACAAGATAAACCCAGGTTAGTATAGGTGCCCGTCACGCTATTGCTTGTATAAATAAGAACAAGATAAACCCAGGTTAGAATAGTTCCCAGTCACTCTATTGCTTGTATAAATAATAACAAGTTAAACCCAGGTTAGAATAGGTCCCCGTCACGCTATTGCTTGTATAAATAATAACAAGATAAACCCAGGTTAGAATAGGTCCCCTTCACGCTATTGCTTGTATAAATAATAACAAGATAAACCCAGGTTAGAATGGGTGCCCCTCACTCTAATGCTTGTAAAAATAATAACAAGATAAACCCAGGTTAGAATAGGTCCCCGTCACTCTAATGCTTGTTAGCCCACCTGGTCCGAAGGACCAAGGTGAGCTTATGCCATACCGTGGCGTCCGTTATCTGTACGTCAACAATTTATTCTTCTTCTTCTGAACCACTAATTGGAAATTAATGAAATTTGACTGGAAGCATCCCTAGGTGGCGGGGATTCAAAATTGTACAAATGGTTGGGCTGTGAGGGGCTGTGAGGGGCTGTGAGGGGCGGGGTCAAATAGGGGTAATTTGGCTAAAATGCTTTAAAAGACTTCTTCTCTGGAACCAAGAGATATATATATCAACCATATATGGTTGGACGCATTCTCCGGTGGTGAGAATTCAAAATTGTACAAATGGAAGAGCTGATTACCCTCCAAGGGGCGGGGCCAAATAGTGGTAAATTGGCGTTATTGCTTTAAACAACTTCCTCTATGGAACTAGGAGATAGTTATCAACCACATTTAGTTGGAAGCATTCTCCAATGGTGGCGATTGAAATTGGAGAAATGGAGGGGCTGACCCCTACCCCTCACCCCCGGGGACTAAGGGGCGGGGCTAAAAAGGTAATTTATGTGGCAATATTGCTTAAAATGACTTTTTCTCGGGAACTAAGAGATAGATATCAACCATATTTGGTTTCAAATATTCTCAGGTGGTGGGAATTCACAATTGTACAAATGGAGGGGCTGATTTCCCCCCAGTGGCTGAGGGGCGGGGCCAAAAAGAGTTTATAACTTGGACATAGTTAAGATCCCCACCCTATAACTATATGTACAATTGAGAGTAAAAAGAAAGGAATGCACATTTGCTACCAGGACTGGCCCTTCTGTTCATCTGTCCGGCACTCCCAAAGGAGTTAGAACCCTTACCATAACATGCAAACCCATATTATCCCCACCCTATAATAAACAAATACATTGTATAAATTTGTTTGTTATGATTATGAAGAGAGTAATGCCTTTAATATGATTTATCCTGGATCATAACATGGAAACGGTTCAAATCTTTATGCTACATTTGTATGTAGAGAAATACACGTTCATGCTGTCAGATTTGCCACCCACCCATTTTAACAGCTGACAGTCAAAATTACGAAATATTTTCAGTATTATATACATGTACTAATTTTAGTTTGTTATAACCGTTGTTCGTTATAAGCATATATGCAACATATACAGCAAATGTATACAGCAAATGACCGAGACCAAAAAACCCAGTTTGTTGTATCCGCCTGTTACCAATAGAAATTGACATGAAAGTAATTAAACCCAGACATTTAGCACAACAAGCAATTTTCTACAAAATATGCTAAATACAATGAAGCCAGCAGAAAGAATTCAACCAAATCAACCTTTGGGGAATGTGTTGTGGTATTTTATATTTATTTTATAGGTTTTTAAGTACAGTCACAACATGAACTATTTTAATTACTTAGACACATGCTGTGCAATAATGATTGATATTGAACCACGATTTTCTATGTAATTGCCACGAAATGACACCTACGTTTTACGTAAACAGTTCCAACAGCTGGGCACCTCATTCAGTGGTTGAGTTAATTGGAAATTGAAATTGCATTGAAAAGGGAATGGTAAATTACTGTATGGACAATACTATCTGTTTTGTCTGTTCTCATGTCAGATGAACATTTATGGCTAATATGGCCGTGTGTACCAGGAATAGTTTCCTTGTTCCCCAACAGACGAAAAAATGTTGTATAAAACCGCTGTCCGTAATATTTCAGCTATATGACTGCGGCTTCTAAATAATCGGGTTTGGGCTAGACAAACTAGTGATTGATACTATAAGCAACATACCACGACGACATGCATTCAACCAAGTGCTACAACATGACCAACCTAGCACTTCAGCCATTTGGATTGGACTATACATAGACTCGTTAGTCCAGCCAAAGTATTACTACATAATTCCAGCCTAGTTCGGCAAGGGTGCTAACTGGACTTTTATAGTCATTTAACTCCCTTGCCTCTGGAAGATGGCCAGATCAACGTGGGTGGAGGTGATGCAGGTCTCGGATGTTTACGGCACGGATATGGTGCTGATAAACCTAGAAACATAATTAAGGCTCCTGCTGCGAGGGTTGATTTAAAAGTTCTGAGCCTCGCATAGAAAAAAATGACCTAAACACAGTATAATGACTAAATTTCTCGAAAAATACAGTGAAGACACCCTTCCACATTGATAGCCTTTGCCAACGGAAGATGGTCCACCATGATGGCACCCTCAGCATCCCAGGACACGGGAGGTCCTGCTCGCTGACATGGTTGATGCATGTCCTCGTATCCCAATTGCGTGGATCGATGCTCATGATGTCAATCACAGGATTCTCTGGTCCAGAGTCGATTATTTACAGACCGGCGTCATATTTATTGCTGAAATATCGCTGAGTGCGGTGTTAAACAACAAACAAATTCTGTAGACAAACGTGGCTGCATATCCTTTGTCACCTTTTATATAAATTGGGCGGTTCAGCACGATATTTATATATATACTTATGGTAACTGCCAAACTAAAGAAAAGAACGTTTCGTTTTGAGATAGATCACTTTAATTCAACGAAATTCACGATTGAAATTTCCGATTTCCCTTCTTTCTCTTCGTCAACCAGTTACTGATATTTGCATGTTTTACGTATATTCAGTTTTACCCGTTCTCGGTCCAAGATACTGGCTGCATATCGAGGTAAAGAATCCTTCGGTCTAATCTAGACTAAACATTACTGACAAATGACAGACAATGCTATGTTTGACCTTTGGGGACAAGTAGTCCTTCCTGCGGTGGGGCCGCGAGTCGCTGTGCAGAGCTGCGTCCCTTGGGCACGCCAGAAACCTATGATTGTGGGTGCGAATCCCGGTTCGTCCCGACTACGTTCCTAGGTTTGTCAGCACCATACCCGTGCTCGTGGGTTTCACCGAAGTGGTAAACGTCTGAGACCTGCTTCACTTCGGGCTCTCCTCCCACATTAAGCTGACACGTCGCGATGTAACTGGAATACTGTTAAAAGCGACGTTAAACCCAACTCACTCACTCACTATTCCTGCGGTGATGGTCGCATATACAAGTTCGGAGCCTCACAAGGGATTGAGTAATAGTGTAATCTTGTGGTTTAACATTACATGATGTCATAGAAGTATATCCGCGAAAAACTAGTTAATTGAGCAAATCGTTTCCCTGTGACAAAGCAGTATGTGAAATAGGCAGGATCACGTTCACTGAGGAACACGCGGTATTGTATGATATACATTCATGTCCTTTATGCTCCTAAACTTCAAAAACATACTTTTGTTTTGAAGATATAAGATACAAGTGAGTGTTGAGAACCGTGTGCGATATACTTCACAGGGGGACACTGCTCTCAAAGATATATGTTGAACAAAATGAATCTCATTCTCTATCAAATATAAATCTCACAGAACACAACAGCGCTGACCTTTAATTACAACATGTATTCTTTCTTGTTCCACAGCCAAATTAGTCCTACATGTACGGGATTTTGCCGATAGATAAAGCAAATGAGTTAACGTAAGTTTAATTCATTATTTAAAATCCATTAGAACTATTTGAATACTGCCCACATCCTGGCAGTCCAAGCCAAACCCAAACCAAAACTAATCGACTCATTCTTGTCAGAAGTCGCACAGTCGTGCCGATTAGCACAGTGCAAGACATAAAGCGTTTCATGCTGTGTCATTTAACCTGTGTAACAATAAGAAAGCTAATTCCAAATCGTTTCATAAACCATACGACCGCCTCCGTGGTCCTGTGGTAGAGCGTCCGCCCGGAGAGCGGAAGGTCCGGGGTTTGACCCCCGGCCGCGTCATACCAAAAGACGTTAAAAGATGGTACTTCTTGTTACCCTGTCTGTCGCTCGGCATTAAGGGGCTAAAACAAGGACTGGTCGGCTCGGAGTCAGTATACTGTGAGTGGGGTATTCATGTTAAACTGTGGCATGGTATTTCAGTAAGCTTGCATTATAAATCGGCATCAGTCCGGACTAGTACAAGCAGACACACGCACGCACGCACGTACGCACGTCGCCATATAAGTGCAATAATCTTGTCCGCGACGTTGAACCCAATTTCACCTCACCTCATAAACAATACTGGTGCGAGGAGTTAGTCTACTACACTTTCATTGCCATGCGGTCGGCCGGGTAGCCTAGTGGCTAAAGCGTTCGCTCGTCACGCCGAAGACCCGGGTTCGATTTCCGACATGATACAATGTGTGAAGCCCATTTCTGGTGTCCCCCGCCGTGATATTGCTGGAATATTGCTAAAAGCGGCGTAAAACCAAACTCACTCACTCACTCATTGCCATGCTGTATGCCCGTAATGTGAGATTGGTAAACATGTAAATAAGAGTAGATGTATAACGAAAAGTTAGTTTGTTTTTTTAGACACAAAAGTCGCAACAAGAGAAGCAGCTTTTAGATAAGCATGAAAACAAAGATTCTCGTGAATTTTGGGAAATTCGTAAACAAAATTAGTATTGGTTTTCTTCTTCTTCTACAAAGCGAACACTGTAAAGCTACAGTCGGTTAATCGCCGTTCCTTTATTGGACAAATATTCTTAGCAATGGAACCTTCACGAAGATGCCTTGGTCAGTCCACCGCCGTACTCTATTCGTAATCCCTTCGTAAAAAAACTCCATAGGGCTGCCAATTTATTCAAAGTGTGTTTTAATTATGTGTTAAACGTGAAATGTGTGAGTTACAAAGAGTCTATTGCTAAAATATTTCACGTGTATTTTAAGACGCCATGAATTCTAGCGTTCCAGCTCGCGACGTTAGTCATCACCGGGCATACATAGTCACGAGAAACAAAGAACAGAGATGATCAAGGTCATAAGTCAGTTTCGCCAGAGTGCAGCCGAACCCTGTAAATGGAATACACTGATTATGTTGAAGGTATTCAGTTGGAACAAGGTAGTCTCAGCCTGGCAATTTCTGTCGATGTTTCGTTTATGGTAACCGCTGGAACGTGTTTGTTAGGTCTGTTATAATGTAA